GTAGATCTGGAGGAAGCATACGAATGGGTTCGTCCATCCTCTACCCCTCAAGCCATCGCTTACATTAGGGCAGCTTTACATCTACTGCTCGGAAGATGAGCTTGAAGAAAAAGGTAAAATGATTGTTTGTTAAGTTTACAATTGTAGTTGTAGTTCTCAATCGTGTGTCAACAGTGGCTGAGGACCTTGACGACTCGAAAGTGCCTCGGAGAAAGCGTAAAGAGCTTCAGTCTCCCACAGCAAGAAGCCCTTTGCCATCATCTAACCCGTCACCACCTTCGGCAGCAGTGACAGTTGCATCAAAGCTGGATGCTAATGCTCCGGTGTTTGTGCCGGCGAGACAACGGCCAGCCTCAGATGTAGAATTGCCGAAATCTGGAGGTATTCTTCCCGCCGAATCGACGAGGTCTTCTCCATCAAGATCCAGTTCACCTGATATAGATGACCTAGTCGCGGAGTACGTCCGTATAAAGATGCAGATAACAGATCTTACCGCCAGGGGCAAGCCACCGGCTCATCACGAACCCGTACTGGTCCAGCATCTCCAAGACAAGCTCGTGGTTTTGAAGTCGCACTATTTCTTTGACGAAAAGGATGCAGAAACGCAGTATCGGTCAGAACGTGCTAGGGTTGATACCCTTTTACTTCAGTCAAGATTACGAGGATCGAGTCCAAAGCTGTCAGCGACACAAGAGAAGAAAGTAGCAAAGCCACTCAGTGCTGGTCCACATGTTGAAAAACAAGATATACCTGCACCGTCTGACATCCCCGATATATTTGATCAACACGAGGAGGGTCTCGGTGGTATGCTTGAGATCTTGGATACCCTCCCTTCCGAAATTGCCGGAGAGGGAGGGACCATAATTCGCATGCGGGACATGGTCTTACCCAAGCACTGGTCCAGTAAAACACCGAAGACACTTTTAGCCGAGTTTGTCTTCAAGGTTGACCGGTACGCCGCAGTCACTTATAGTATTATTTCTGGGCCAAGTCGTGCGAAACGCGCATGTGTTATGGTCAACTGGGAGGGAAAAAAGACGGATGAGTGGGGCATGTGTGATGTTGCTTGTCACACTGAAATCCAGGCAGAGTATTATGTCGCAACAGTTGCTTTACACGCTCTTACGTTCCCTGCCACTGATGGCTTTGCGGTCGGGTCTTCCGGTGCTTTAGCCAACCATACGTCGTTCCGGTTACTACCGCCTGTCTTCAGGGATTTATGGGATGAACTTGAGACAGACAGAAAGTTACGGGAAGATCTGATCAATCGTCAAGTTTGGGCGAATATGAGAAACATTGTTGAAAAAAAGATTGATGCTCGTCCAATGGTAACGTTCCTCATTGGAATACCTGTTTTTCGGACTGAGCTTTGCTCTCTAGCTTATGGAGAAGAACACGAGGGCTACCACAGAGGCCAAAGACCCCATACCAGTTCGGAATCTGCCTCGCAATGACATCAGCTCTGATCATGTCATTGCGGACTTCAGAGCGCGACAAATGCGGCCTGCGTATCAAGAAATGCTTGTAAGTGACATCAGAAATGAACGTTTGGTCTACATTTTCAAGCTCCCTTTCGTAGCATCATCGCAATCAGCTTCCTATTGCAAAGTATAAGAGTGAAATCCTATCCATTCTTGACCATTCGCAAATCCTCGTGCTCAGTGGCGAGACTGGCTGGTAAAGTGGCATTACTTCTTGAAAGGCACATCTTACTTATTCTCTGATTTTATAGTGGCAAATCCACACAAGTCCCTGCGTTCATTTTAGAGGATCAGCTGGCTCGTGGCCTCCCTTGCAAGATATATTGTACAGAGCCGCGTCGAATATCAGCGGTATCTCTCGCTCAACGAGTTTCTCGTGAGCTAGGCGACTCTCCTGGTGCCGTTGGAACTCTAAGCTCGCTTGTCGGCTATTCAATTCGATTGGAAAGCAATACTACGCGAAATACCCGCCTGGCGTTTGTTACGAATGGTATCGCGCTTCGTATGCTGGAGGGAGGCACAGGCCCCAATGGTCAAGGCACTGCATTTGACGAGATCACAGTGAGCAAAACGTAAATCAGGAAGACGCAGCTAATACTATTTCTAGCACATCATTATTGACGAGGTTTGTGCAGCCATTTCCGAAGCCCGGACTCCTTACATGTCCAATTATACAGGTCCATGAACGCAGCATTGAGTCAGACTTCCTTCTCATTGTTCTAAAATCTCTTCTCTCCCAGAGGTCGGATTTGAAGTCAGCACGCTCGCCTTAGCTATGCAGCTCACTGACCAAGCGCATCGCAGGATCATTCTCATGTCGGCCACAGTGGACGCGGACAAACTGTCCAATTATTTCAATGGATGCCCCACATTACATGTCCCAGGTCGAACCTTCCCTGTGGATGTTCGCTTCTTAGAGGATGCTATAGAGTACGCGGATTGGTTCATCCAGGAAAATTCGCCTTATGCGATTAATCGTGAGCCAACTTCTAAACTATCCTTCAATACGCTCACTTGCCCGAATAATCCATCAGTACATGATAAATCCCACAAGAACAAGAACAGGTTTGAATGGGACGAAGACACTGTTTATGGCAATGATGACGAAGACACGCTAGTCGATGGCGGACAGCAGATCTCAAGCCAGCCTATGAGACTGGAGAAGCGTTACTCCTATCAAACGATTAACACCGTCAACCTTCTTGATGAGCGCGCGATTCCTTACGAGTTGATTCTTCGTCTACTAGAACGCCTCTGCTTTGAGGACAAAGAGAGCCATCATTTTTCAGCGGCTGTTCTGATTTTTATGCCTGGTTTAGGGGAAATTCGGCGCATGAATGATCTTCTTACTGAACATCATACATTTGGGGATGAAAACAGCTTCAGGTTATATCCGTTGCATTCTACACTCTCGAGCGAAAATCAGAGCGCAGTGTTTGACATCCCTCCTCAGGGAGTTCGCAAAATCGTTATAGGTTCTTATTTGCATCTGCTCTTCGAAGCCAAGCATCATTGCTCATTACTCCTTCGCAGCGACCAACATTGCCGAGACAGGTATTACTATTCCTGACATTACCTGTGTCATAGATACCGGCAAACATCGCGAGATGAGGTCACTACTACCCCTCTCTCTTGAAGTCAACGATCACTGACTACCTTCAGGTTTGACGAAAAGCGCCAGCTCAGTCGTTTGGTCGAAACTTTCGTTGCCAAAAGTAATGCTGCTCAGCGTAGAGGCCGTGCAGGACGGGTGCAGAATGGACTATGTTTCCACTTGTTCACCAAGATTCGCCATGACACGTTGGTAAGACTTGGGCATTCCTGAGCTGTCTCTTTTACTGAAACCACGTGCTCAGTTGGCAGAGCATCCTTTGCCAGAGATGATGCGGCTTAGCTTATCAGACCTTTCCCTACGCATTAAAATCATGAAGGTGAAAATCGGCACCTCCATCGAGGATGTATTGTCCCGCGCATTGGATCCTCCTACGCCGGTGAATGTGCAAAGAGCTATCTCAGCACTAGTCGAGGTCCGTCAATGCCAGAACTCCTGTGTTTACCTTTCTCATCTGTCGCTTAGGTCCGCGCTCTTACACCGTCAGAGGACATCACTCCGATGGGTAGGCTTCTGAGCATGTTGCCTACAGACGTGCATCTAGGGAAATTCTTGCTCACCGCGGTATTATTCCGATGTCTGGACCCCGCGCTAACAATCGCTGCTGCTTTGAGTTCCAAGTCCCCATTCATAGTACCAATGGGTATGGAGCAAGAGGCGGACCGTGCTAAGAGTTCGTTCCGCGTTGGTTAGTTATGCACCACATTAAAAGACAACGAACTTACCTCCACTTCTTCAGATAATTCAGACTTCTTGACGATCCACAATGCATTTTCGAGTTGGCGTAGAGCATCCGAGAATCCCAGTTTCGTGCGCAAGTTCTGTCGGGTTAATTTCCTTAGCCACCAGAATCTTCAACAGATCGAGGAATTACGTCAACAATTCCTAGGGTATGATGGTTTTGATACGTGATCGCTGTTTGGCTAAGAAGTCTGTTGCAGCTTCTTAGTCGACTCTTCGTTTATCACTGTTGATAGGAATTTCGTTCGAGAACTCAGCCGGTATGTAACAGTGCGTCTAATGCCTCCCCATTACCGATGTTTCTATCCAGTGCGCGTTTCGGTCGCAACCGCACGCGCTTCGTGAGCGTACCGCTGCCTCTGGATAGCAATGGATCTAATATTGCTCTCATCAACTCGGCTCTCACTGCGGGGCTTTATCCTAAAGTGCTGGCGATCGACTCTTCCTCTGGACAAATGCGCACTATATCGAATAACCAATCTGCTGCTTTTCACCCTACTTCTGTTAACTTTGGCAGGAAGCCCGCTGACTTTGGTGTTAACCATCTCGTCTACTTTACACTCATGTAACAGTCCATTATGATGACGGCGACAAGTACTGAAGAGGTTTACAGGCACTCGAAGAAGATGTATGCTTGGGAGACCGGACCCATCGACGATCTCGCTCTCGTACTCCTATGCGGGGAGAGTGAATTCAAGGTCAGTACAACGTCCCAAGTGAATACAAGACGTTGACATCATAGCATTATACCCAGCTCCAATCTAACATGTTGTCCATTGATCGGAAAATCAGATATCAGCTCGCTCCCAAGGCCAATGTTGCGCTCAAAATTCTTCGCCAACACCTCACTACAATTCTTGCACTGCAACTTCGTGGCAGACCATTAACGGAGTCTCAAGTGTTATGGTATGATCTTGCCACTGCAGCTTTGGGGAAAATCAAACTGGAAACTGGAGATGACAGTACGAAGCTGATGATTAAACTGCCATGATGTAGCCAATCGACCTCTGATCTAGACCTAAATAATATGATGTATCGTCAAGATCTATGCACTTGCACTTATCCTCACTCATGCACATGAAGCTAAAATCGATAGCGAGACGTAACAACAATGTCGTGACATAGCCATAATACATAGTTGACAACAAATATGTGGAGTGGTGAGATTACTCTTCATCATCATCCTCGCCATCACGGCTGCATCTTCTGTGAGATAAAATGCCCTGAGAAGTGGAAATCACTTACGCGATGTTGTAGAAACGCAACTCGTACGTATCCTTGGATGATGCGACCACCCGGATCCAGTCGCGCAGGGTGTTTTTCTTCAAGAATTTCTTTGTCAAATACTTGAGGTAGCGTTTTGAGAAAGGGACGTTGGAGGTAACAGTAATTTTGGTGTTGCCTGCCAAAATAGTTAGGAATATAACAAATTGGTGTTGACAAAGCATATTACCATCCCGAACGATTTTGACGTTTTCACCGAGCTGACCAGACTTGCCCTCGACCTTTACACGATCGTGCAAGAACTTTTCGAAGTCAGCGCCATCGAAGACGCCGTCCGTTGCTGGGCGAGAGTAGTCGATCACGAATTTGTGCTTGACAGCAGGGGCTTTTCCACCAGCGGCTTTGGGCTAACAAAAGAACAGAACAAGCGGAAATCCGCAGGACATGAGCCTACTGAGAAGGTAACTCAGCAAAGCGGTGCCGGGACTGACCATCTTGAAAACGAGGGATGGAAGCTTGAAATCTTGAGGTTCGTTTCTGCAACCGTGACCAAGAAGATTAGGTTTGCTGTATATATGTAACTGTATAGTTCCAAACCATGTTTCTGGAAAATGCCGATACTTTAGGTTTGGAAATATCTTCTCACATGATATTTCTGAACGAAGAAATTAGTCGATACTTACCGGTCCTAGATCACTACTGACAAAACTTTTGAGGGATGACTACAACGCTCACTCGCGAACAAGTTGCCTCTGCCCAGCTGCAGGGCGACTTTGCTATAAAATCTGAGAGTTCACAGCCCAAACTCGATACATCAGAATGGCCCCTCCTGCTCAAAAATTATGACAAGTTACTCGTTCGCTCCAGTCATTTTACACCTATACCATCTGGAAGCAGTCCATTGAAACGAGATCTTGTCTCGTACATCAAGTGAGTATCCCACATACGTTTTGCATCCAGTACTGAGATCTTTGAAGGTCAGGTGTGATCAATCTTGACAAACCTTCTAATCCTTCATCACATGAAGTCGTGGCCTGGTTGAGGCGCATTCTACGCGTTGAGAAAACTGGACATAGCGGTACGCTTGACCCTAAGGTCACAGGGTGCTTGATTGTCTGCATTGACCGCGCTACGCGATTGGTCAAGTCCCAGCAAGGCGCAGGTTAGTACACATCGATGCTCAGCTAAAATCCTCTTTATCGAAGCTGTTTAGGCAAGGAATATGTATGTGTGCTGCGCTTGCACTCAAGTCTACCGGATCCCACTGCCCTCCCTCGGGCATTACAGACACTCAGTGGTGCGCTCTTCCAGAGGCCACCACTGATCTCTGCTGTGAAACGACAGTTGCGTATTCGAACGATATACGAGTCGAAGTTGTTGGAATTTGATGAAAAGCGTAATCTTGCCGTATTTTGGGTGTCATGTGAGGCTGGTACATATATCCGAACACTTTGTGTCCACCTTGGTCTTTTGCTGGGCGTGGGTGGACACATGCAAGAGCTTAGGAGGGTAAGGAGCGGTGCGATGTCGGAAAACGATGACATTGTGACCATGCATGACGTTCTGGATGCTCAATGGATGTATGATAACACACGCGATGGTAAGTTCCTGCACGCGTTATCAGGGAATATTCTAATATCATGTGCAGAATCGTACTTGCGTCGCGTTATCCGACCTCTGGAGAGCCTGCTCGTGGGATATAAGCGGATTGTTGTGAAAGACAGCGCGGTCAATGCAGTCTGCTACGGCGCGAAGCTCATGATTCCTGGGCTCTTGCGCTATGAAGCTGACATTGCAGTTAACGAGGAAGTGGTATTGATGACGACAAAAGGTTTGTTAAATTTAGTCACATATTCAGGTATTCCTCTGATATTCTTGGTCAGGCGAAGCTATAGCTCTGGCCATTGCACAAATGTCGACGGTTGAGCTTGCTACTTGTGATCATGGAGTTGTTGCAAAAGTGAAGCGATGTATCATGGAGCGTGACACCTACCCTCGCCGCTGGGGTCTTGGACCCATGGCTCTTCAGAAAAAGAAAATGGTCAAGGAAGGGAAGCTGGGCAAGTATGGTGAGAAGACTGAAGCAACGCCTGCGGAATGGAGTAAGGACTACGTGGACTATAATCGAGAGGTATGCGAGATTCTTTTGAGACAGCTCAAGGGTCCTAATCATTTCTTTCTTAAGCAATCCGGTCCTTCTACGATTACCCCTGTGCCTGCCCAAAAAGTGGAAGTAGTCGCAGAGCCTGTTGCTGAGGCTGTTTCCCCGAAGAAAGAGGAGAAGGAGAAAAAACGGAAGCGGAAGTCAGAGGCGGCCGAATCTGTCGCAGATGTGTCGATGGTGGAAGCACCTGCAGCGGAGGATGATCTTGACAAAACAGAGCGGAAGAAGCGAAAGAAAGAAAAGAAGGACAAGAAGGATAAGAAGGAAGAAGGTGCGGAAGAGGATGATGAGGCTCGACGGGAGAGGAAACGGCTCAAAAAAGAGAAAAAAGCTAGGGAGTCGATCGCAGCTGCAGACGAGTAGTTCTTTGGATGAGATCTGTGGTTTCATATGTTATTTCTTGTATTCTCTGGTCGCTCGACATGGTTGGTCTGTCATTCACATAGCTGAGCTTAGCAGGTATAAGTTCGAGATGAAACAGCAAATGAAGTAAGGAGCTCACTGGGCACTTGCAATGCTTGATAGTTTCGCCAGTGTCGTGTTGCGTTTGGCATGCTCGCCAAGTACCAGTGGTATAAGTAACTTACAACTTGTTGCAGTAAGAAATTTGGGCGCTGACTCCAGGTGCCGGTGATCTGTGAACCGACTGACAAGTCTACACGCAATCCTCTGACGCCAGAAATAAACCGTTGCAACCGGTTATCGAGCCTAAAACTTCAAGTACTCTTACCCACTCCTAGTAGTATTAGTAGATCTTGCGTCTAGCATATATGCTCTACTATGGCTTCCCGTAGGCAAGGATATATAATTTCACGCGGGTCACCCTGAGTGTCTGCCTCCCCCTTAAATCTGTAAGGGGTTAACGGCATACTTTGCCTTTTCAGGACCACTGACACCAGCGATATCCGCTGACATAACCTTACCGTGCGGTAATGATCTGCGCAGGCTCTGTCGTTGAACGTTCGGCGCCAACGGTTTGATATTACCGCTTACCTTGTTTATATACGCACTGGTTTGGATGCTGTAGTGAGCCGAATTTCCGAGCCTGACACTAGCGCTCGCTAAGGGAAAGAAACAACCGGTGTCCAATGCGAAACTTCCCTCAAGAAATTTTCACTAGCGCTCGTGCCTCCTTATTTTGAAATATCAACGTGCGACATACAACTGGCGTCCAATCACCAGCGGTGAGCGCTCGTGCCTTCCTTATTTTGTAACATTAACGTACGACGGACAACTGGCGTCCAATGCGAAAGTTCCCTCAGAAACTTTTCATTCTCCAACCCTACCTTCTGTGTTTGTAGGACAGCAACCATGTCAGAGCCCTCACCGCACTGATAAATGCTTTGACAACCGGCCATTGAACGTGGCATTTTCAATATCGACGTCGTCCGATGTTTGCATGGGAAGTTTCGAGCCAACTATGCTACCGAAGTCCCTTTGAATTCGCGCATGATGCGCCACCACAAAAGTGCTGCGTAAACTCGTCTCCTTGAATCTTGACATCAGCCATATCACGAGAGTGAGGAGTATGCGCGGGCCAAATGGAAGGTACCGTGAAACTGTCGTCGGGAATCAGGATGAACGCTTGCAGACTAATTTGATGCATTCTAGAGTTTAGGTACCAAATCAAAGCCCATGATCATAATGAAGGCTCGATCGTTCTGGCTTGCAAATGAAGCTTACCACGGGGTGCTCACATGTGGATTTGGAAGGAGCTGCGCATGGCAAAGGTATTGTCATTGTGTTTGACGTCTGTCGTTGCGTTCTTCAAGTTGTCGAGTCAGTTTGGTTCCTACCAGTACAGCTGCTGCAACAATGAGTGCAGATTCTTCATCGTTGATTACTTCTCATTTTACAATGCTTGATGTGATATAAGATATCATCCACAAATAATACTGGTTTTTCGTATAGAATTTGTTTTTCAAAGTCCGGCGTATGATAGTCTACCTACTACGGGAAGTCAACGTTTCAACTATTATGTACAATCACTTGTGGGAAGACGAACAACGTTGTCGACGTTGCCGCCGGTCATCGATTCATCAATGGCGCGAGAAGGTGCGAGGCGCGCCGCCAAGGCAACTAGCAATAGGATAAAAGATTGGAAAGATGGACAAATGGCAACAGTCGTAATTTCGGAAGGAATTGCTCATGGAATAACCTGAGACAGTCTACTAGTGCCAGTGGCGCAGGGATTGCACAGCCCTTGATGCAGTCCTTGATGGAGATCAATGGTGCACCGGTTGAGAGTTGAAAGCATAGTAAGCACGGCTACCATGGAGGATGCGCCGATACGTTTGCTGACACCTGTACTAACAGTCTGCTGCCAAATTCACGAGGGTCCAGGGACCAGGCCCAAGGAGCATAGCGCCCGTTAAATTGCGAATGCTGCAAATTTTCGTTTGCACTGGGCACAGGTCACGACAAAGCCCACTGCCAAGGATGCGACATCATGATCGTATCGAATGATCTCCAGTTTTTGACAGGCCACAGCTACCTCCACTTTCATGCCACACTTTAATCAAAAAAGGACTTCACCGCTGGAATCAGGCGCTTTGTAGGTTCTCGGCACACGATACCCCACTTCAAGGTGCATCATGTGATATAGATGCCCCAGCGAGTCATTTTAACTACTTGTCCGTCCTGTATGTCGAGGTAGTTCGAACAGAGCAACTACAGAGCAGCTTGCGATGAAGTCGACAGTCATGGCCCTCGTTTTCTCGATCCTGTGATAACTGGGGGTAACTGGCCCGCAGGGCTGTGGATCTGTGCTTCCGTAAACGCGATAAGATGAGACAGAGTCAGAATGTTGCCTTGAAGCTTTTGATGGCTTTTCTGCAAATAAATCGCCTGCATGGCTGTGTCTTGATGGCGCCTGTAATTGGCGGCCGTGCGGTGATTGATATGCTACCTACTATTGCCGGTACGCGGGCTATTTCAGCTTTTCCCGACTGGCGGATGTTGAAGAGATAGATACACTGCCCGTTACTAGCGCTGTTTCTGTGCCTCCCAGGCCATCATTCCTCTTCACACCGCAGATGTAACTGCATACATAAAGTTGGTGTTTTGTTTCATAAGAATCCTCAACCACATCTTAAAGTGACGATTTTTCTGTCTAGGCGACTTTCACTAAAGTTCTAACACCCTAGTAGATCTGGTTTTTCATCATAATGGTCGCAGCACCAACACCCAAAGTGAAGGTGGTGAAGTCTCTTCCTCGATTTGACGTCGGTGAGTGGCGGGTCGTCGTCTTGTAGATACCTTATGCTAAATCAGCTTTCAAGGTCCCGACTACGAGATTTTGCATTGTCTGGGTGAAGGAGCATATGGAACAGTGGTGGCTGCATCACATAAACCCACTGGCCGACAGGTAGCCATCAAAAAGATCCTGCCTTTTGACCACACGCTGTTCTGCCTTCGAACATTGCGAGAGCTGAAGCTACTGAAATTTTTTTCGGAGACCTGTGTCAATGAGAATGTTCGTCAGTTTTTTGCTCGTCGATCAAGGATATGTCATGGAGTGATCATTGTAGATCATCTCAATATTAGATATAACGAGGCCACCATCACTCGAAGAATTCAAGGAAGTGTACTGTGAGTTTATTCAGTTCATTTACCTCGGTCGCGCTGAATCCCAGAAAGTCATCCAGGAATTCATGCAGACCGATCTTCACCGTGTCATACGGACGCAACAGCTTACTGACGATCATTGCCAGGTAAAATTTGGCAACTCATCTGAAATCCGATGTGATCTGATTATTTGCTGTCCAGTACTTTACTTACCAGATTCTTCGTGGCCTCAAATCTATACATAGTGCTGATATTGTCCACCGAGATCTTAAACCGGCTAACCTGTTGCTCAACGCTAATTGCGACCTCAAAGTTTGCGACTTTGGCCTGGCGAGGAGCGTCAAAGCAACAACCCCGGGCGCCAAAGAGGCTGGGTTGATGACTGAATATGTAGCAACGCGATGGTATCGTGCACCAGAGATTATGCTTTCTTTCAAGATGTACACGAAGGTCAGTCTCCCGCGATTTCCTGATGGTCGCGTCCCTTATCGCACACGGTTGTGAAGGCTATTGATTTGTGGGCGGTTGGATGCATTCTTGCTGAAATGCTGACGGGTAAACCTCTGTTTCCCGGGCGTGACTACTCGCATCAGCTGAATCTCATCCTGGATATAATTGGTATGTCCTTTCTTGGTTTTGAAGCGTATAGCATTATGAACGTTTGTACCAAGGCACGCCAACCTTGGATGAGTTCTACTCGATTACTTCAAGGAGATCGAGGGACTATATCCGAGCTCTTCCAATCCGCAAAGGAAGGAAGTTTCAATCACTTTTCCCGAAAGCAACGCCCGAAGCCATAGATTTCCTACAGAGAACTTTGGTATGCCGACTTCTTCCTTTGAAATTATTGGACGATGATATACCTCTTTTTAGACTTTCGATCCCAAAAAGCGCTTGACGGTTGATGAAGCTCTCAACCACCCGTATCTTGCTGCATATGTAAGTCCGAATATATATATTTTCCTCTATCATACCTAACTTATGCAAACAGCACGACCCAGAGGACGAACCAGTTGTAGCATCCCTTGATCCAGACTACTTCGACTTTGACCGTGAGTTTCTTTCAAATCTCTCCGATGTGCTCACTCAGTTCCTGTTCTTAGAATTCAAAGACGACCTCACCAAAGCAGATCTGAAAGGTACGTGACTCCACTCTTCCCAATAGCTGGTGTCTTCAACTGTCTGTAGAACTTCTATACGATGAAATCATGTCCTTCATCCCGGCGCTCTAAACTATGATATTCATCATTCGACTCCTAGTAACTGTACAGGTCTCCGCCATATATTATTACCCTGGACTCAGCATCACGTCGTGGGATTCACCACGCTGGTTTATATTTACCGTCGCACTGGTTTCGACATTATCACTATATACTTGTAGTCTCATTTGCACGATAGTGGATAGTAGAGCAAATTAACAATATAGGAAGATGCAAGAATACATTGGATCTACTGACACAGCAAGTGTGTACGAATGATAATCAAGTATATTAGGATGAAAGGTAGATAGTCGAAACCGACAGTAAAAGCAGAATAAAGGTCCAACGAGAAACTATTAGCGCCTACCTCCGGCCCAAAAGCCAGTCGCTACACCCTCAACACCGAAATCACCAAATCGAGTATCCCCTTCTAACTCAGTCCCGTACATGGTACGGCGTGCGGGAGGTACTGGAGTGCCCTCTTCCGTCGCCGCCGTGCGCAGTACAGTCAGTCCCAAGCCCGAAGCCACCTCATTGCTCGACGGCTGTCTCTGCATACCACCGGCCCACATCGAGGAATTTAGACCACTTTCCTGTCCGCCTGTGGGTCCCCCTGACCCGCCCCTACCGGTCGTTCCAGAGCTACCACGGCGATGTCCGAAAATCCCGAGGTGCTCTGACTGACGACTGCGTGGTCGATCCACGTTATTTGCTGGCGATGGGGATGTGGGGGGTTCTGGATGTGGGAAGGTTCCCATTGCAGTGGGGAAAGTGAAACGAGCTGGAGTGGATGTAGGCAGACAACCAAAACGAAAGGCATCTAGAGGCGCTCCCACGGTGGTGGACACGCTCATCGATGGAGGTGAAGGTGGTGTGAAGAAATCAAGAAGGCTGTCTGTGGGCGGAGGCATCTCTACGTAATCAGGATCACCAAATATAGGGAAACTAGGTCTTGCGGAGGGTTGTGAGGGGCCAGGATTGGTGTCTTGACTACCCTGTGCGCCTGATGACGGACCTGAACAGTCATCTGCGTCCTCCGTAATGGCAGTGGAACTTAATTTAACACGCTTCTGAGCGGGCCGAGCAATTCTCTTCGCAATCTCATTTTCAGAAAGTTCTTCCTCTTGTCCGAGCTCAAAAAACGTAGTAGTGGTACTGGCAGTAGAATCTCGAAGGCGCTTCCCAAGGGTGGTACGAAAGCCAGGAAGAAGCGACACTCCCTGATTCGGGTTAACTGTCTCTCGCTCTTGATGACTGAGTAAGCCATTGGGATTCGGAGAATCGCTAGAAGTTGCTGAGGACTCTGGCAGAGCATCGCTGAAATCCCATGAGTCGAAGCAACATGACAAACGACAAAAAATCTCACCCAAGAGGATCGACTGGACTGCGCACACGTTTAGGGGTTGACGGAGGATTTGGTATTCGGTAAGGAGTCTCTTTGGGTCTCTGAACTTCACCAGCACAATGTCCAGGTGCTTGTGCACGTAGCCCCTCAATCTCCGCCGCGAGGCCCAAGATTCGTGTTTCGAACGTTTCGATAATGCCTGAGACTTTGTCTCTCAACTCAGACAACTGAGCTTTCTGATCCTCCAGTTCCTTTTGTACTGGAGCAAGCTGTAATGGACGCGAGTAAGATAAATATCGGACTACATATATTGAACTCACAGCGGCAGCCACTGCATTCTCAACTATTTGTGAGTACGAAGGCTCTGTTGTGCTTGCGGTATGCGTTTGTGGCGGTATGGAGTGTGGCTTGGGCACTAGCAAAGAATCGCTCGATTCTGCTTGTTCTGATGCTATGTGAGAGTGAGCGACTCGACAACTTGAATTCGTTTATCTAATGGACTGACATGTTAAAGCGGGGATTGGCTCTAGCTCTGCAAATGTTGAGATCACTGGATGTATCGATGAAGATTAACGCCCACCTTCAGCGATGGGGTCTTCTGAGGGCTTGACATTTTTCATACTTTTCGCCTTCTTGCTCCCTCGCGAGACACTGACAGATTTAGTCACAGCACGAGCACCGCTACCTCCGGCAATGATTGGTCGACCGACACCAAGACGATATTGGGTATCTTTGGCCTTGCGGGTTCTCGGGGTGGGATCAACAGGGGCCGACGGAGGTTTATGTTCTTTCGGCTGCTGTTCCACTTCTATTTCTCCGATAGCTTCTTCTCCCTCTTCGTCGGTATCATGGATGATTACAGATCCATTAGAGCGCCCGCGAGGTCTATCACCGGGTTGACTTATTATTCTGACAGATGTAGATCGCTGAGGCGGCTGTGGAAGAGTCCTTCGGGAAGGTTGGGGTCTATGTTCGTGATTAATTGCTGGATCGGTGTTAATATCGGGGCTAGCTCACTGGGACGCATCAAGCAAAAGCTCTATCAAAGCTTCTGTCTTGAGATTCGCCCTTACACCGTATTCCTAGTGAAGGGATTTAGTAAGAGATATAGCATGAGTGTTTTATCTGACTTTGCATAACTTCTGAATATCGACTCGTTTCATTGCCTGCAGGACCTCACGGCCTGGCATTGAGATCATTGAGAGATGGCGTTGAGATAGAGGGAAGTGAAAAGATGGAACAAGTTGCTGCTTGTGGTTGCTGGCGCGCGCGTGGTTTAAGTATGGAAACTGCACAATAACGGATGCCAGGTCCACAACGCGAGCCCAACCACAGTCACGTGATATTCTCATAATCAGATCAAACGTTAATCACTCCATTGGATTGGACCTCGACTTCGTGATCCCTTATAGAATGTTATCGGTTTTTCTTCTTTCTCTGGTCTGCTAACACGATGCCAACATTAACTTCCACGAGGCACACATCACATTACTCGACTGGGTCACTTCCAATCTCATTCGCGGACAGCCGGCCCGGCATCGACCCATCCTTTTAAATATCGTCATGCTCTAAGCTAATTTGGGGTTACGGTCTTTCCGCATTTCCATCGACGATGCAGACGTTCACTCTTGAACAAGTCGCCCAGCATACCACCACCGGGTGTGTTTTTTCATATCACGTTTCATAAATAACAATCATAATCGTCCTCATATTTTCAGCTCCTGCTGGGTCATCATCCAAAACAAAGTTTATAATGTGACCGACTTCCTCTTCGTGAGTTTCGTTCATTTGTTGTGCATGCATTTAACTAACATGCACCAGGATCACCCCGGAGGGCCGAATGTCATCCTCAGATATGGAGGAAAGGATGCTACTGCTGCATACATACCTATCCATCCATCGGACGCTTTGGACAAAAACCTTGCTCCGGAAAGGCATCTTGGTACTCTAGACGACGAGTCAATAAATCGACTAAAGGAATCAGTGAATAACAAAGTTCAAACCAAAGACGAGTTGCGCGTTGAAGAAGCACTCAAGAACAAGCCACCACTTCAGAGAGTAGTCAATGTCGAGGACATGGAAGTATGGTACTCAAGTATACTACCCTACCGCACTCTCATCACTGTAATCTGCAGGAGGTTGCGAAGAAAATCCTGTCGTACAGGGCCGTGGCTTACTATTCTTCAGCTGGTGACGATTCTATCAGTAAGTATGTGCTTTTATCTAGCTGAATTGCATTTTCAATATCAATCATACAGCGCACGTGGAGAATGGTCGTGCCTTTGGTCGCTTCTTTTTTCACCCTCGGGTTATGAAACCTGTGTCCCAATGTGACACCTCGACGACTATACTCGGTTATAAGAGCACGATACCCGTGTACATCAGCGGTGCAGCGCTAGCCCGACTAGGCCACCCATTAGGCGAGGCCAATCTTACACGCGGTGCCTATAAGACCGGCATTATACAAATGGTGTCCACCAACTCTTCTCTCTCTTACGCAGAGATAGCCGCTGCACGTGTTTCCCCAGATCAGCCTCTCTTCTTCCAATTATATAAACACGTTAACGATGCCACTGCCGAGAAACGCGTAAGAGATATTGAAGGATTAGGCTATAAGGCAATTTTCTTGACAGTCGATGCCCTGGTTCCTGGTAACCGCGAGTTGGACATCAGAGTACCACATTATCTCGAGGACTTGGAGAACCAAGGTCTCCCCACTCAGAGAAAGTCGGATGAGGACGAAGGCGAGACTGACCGACTTGGTACCGCTGGCGGACTTGTCATACATAACGATGCTGACATGACATGGGAAAAGGTGAGTTGTAGTTTAGCTCACGAGACGCCATGGAGTGACTTCTCTCTGTAGACAATACCATGGATGCGAAGCATTACGAAATTACCCATCGTCATTAAAGGTTTGTGCATTCACACCCTCGTTTATCGCTGTATCTCATTCCTGTTTCAGGTATTCAGTGTGTTCAGGTTAGTGGATATGACTCCTCGTATAAAGACCCCAGGTGGTGACAGGAGCTATTAGGATGCCGTTCTGGCTTGTGAAGCTGGTTGTGAAGGTATTGTGCTATCGAATCACGGAGGTATGCCGCGTCTGATCGTCTCTTGGAATCACTGAAGTTAACGCTATAAACAAGGTCGTCAATTGGAGTACTCTCTACCACCAATCGAGTTGTTGTACAGGATACGACAACAGCGCCCTGACGTATTTGAGAAGACTGAAGGCTGGTTTCCCGATCATCTGATCAATATTTCACTTCAACTAATACACATCTTTGATAGTGTACATTGACGGAGGAATCCGCCGTGGAACCGATGTCGTTAAAGCACTATGTTTGGGTGCCAGAGCTGTCGGTTTGGGACGCGCGTTCCTCTACGCCCAGAGTGTAAGTTGTTTCTATTCAATCGCATGTGAGTAATGTCTAACTAGCATACGTGAAGGCATACGGCGAGGCTGGTGTAGTTCACGTGGCGCGTATCCTTGAACGCGAAATCCGCTTTGGGATGCAGTCGCTCGGTGCCCGAAGCATCAGTGAACTCGTGCCGCAGATGGTAAGTACTAGTTGTACACTTGCTTACGTCTATTGAACGACTTTCCTTACAGGTTGAACGTGTTGACTGGCAGCCAGTCACCCGTGCGAAGCTGTAGATTGCAGTCCTGAGCTACAACATATATGCACACGCCTATCGTGTACTTATATACCTTGCATATATGTGGAATCTCCGTCTTCTAGACATTCACCGATTGGACACAACATCGTCGCTAACTTCTAAGTAATACTACCAACAAAAGCTGCTACTTCAAAATTGGGAAGATGTTCTGAATTTGAATCATGCAAAGCCAGCGGATCAGCACAGTTGTCCTGACTGTCTGGTCCCATGGCTGACAATATAAGCTGGCTTACTTTGTTCAGACGCATAAAACGGTGATTGGCCTCGCTCACCTTATGTAAGTTAGGTTTCCAAATTTTGACCAAACAGGAAGGTGACTGGTCATGTGACCGCGACATCAATGTTCGATTTATGCCTCGTGCGCGTTTTCGGCTCTCTTTACACCAATACTATCCCTTACTGGTGTTTGTCGCGATCTTACCAACATCAACATTACTGAAGCAATCCTCGCAGGTCAACAGATAAAGAATGGGCTTCTGTCGGAGGTGCGGGAATATTGTCATAGGAGAACGGTGTAAATGTGGTGGCACAGCAGTTGGTTTGTCCCATTTTCTTGTACCAGTCAACCCATATTGAACGTTGTGTCAGCCCCCGTAGTGCAATGGACAACTTCCAAAGAGCCCGCTGCAGACAGATGGTCTCAGACTTACGTTTCTCGTGAGAGGTCTCCGATTCGACCTCCCAGCCGCGCACAACCATTCAACTCCGACTCTACCTTTCCGACCGCCAGTGAAAGTGTTATCCCAGACGCCTCGTCTTCACTCCTGGAACGTCTACCCCGAAAGTACTCTATCACTTCTCCTTTCGGAAACCGCACTTCTGTACACATTGGATCAAGTACATCGCGGCCTGCCTCACCGCTGAAGCACTCAGTGTCGTTAAGCAACATCCATCACGAAGCCCCTCCATCACCAACAACTATCTCCGCTGCTGCAGGAGTCCTTCCTTCCCCATACGCACCCGAACTTTCCAAAGCTTATGGGTCAGTCCTTCAGCCCAAAGAATCCCTTGCATCCTACTGCTGCGCTATCTGCTCCGCTGAATTCCCACCAGACGCGACCATATACCCAGACCCTTCTGCTCCCGCAATAGATACAGACCGATTCCTGTGTCGACAATGCTTCGTCAAGCACGGTGGATCCAAAGGCGACTGCCCTTCGTGTGATCGTCCAGTGCTCATTGTGAAGAGCGAGGGTGGTTTCGTGGAAACGTCAGGCCGTGTTTGGCACAAAAGATGCTTTTGCTGTGACGGGTGTCACAAAAACATTGGCGACACTCCTATGGTCGACATATTAGGTCGACCATCCTGCGCAGACTGTTTCGAAAGTTGCTTGCAGAGGGACAATACGCCTTCCAAACCTCACCAATCTCCAGGAATAGAGAGAATAGAGCGAAGTCACGTAGGCCGCTTCCGCAGAGACTCGACAAGTTGGCAAGGAAGCCCTGCAATCGATGAACTAGAACAGCGACTCGGAATAATGAAGAGTAGAGAAGGTAGCCCCGTGATGGAAGAGCTCACGGCACGCTTAAATGCAGTGCTCAATCGCACACCTTCCAAAGATGCATCTCCGACACCAAGTGCCCTTGGTGCCTCAATGTCGCGTTATACCAATGCGAATTATCGGGGAGAAAGTCCTATTCCTGGTCGTATTTCGGAGAGGAAGTTGCCCCAAACATTTTCTCCAATGGGGTCGCTCTCCTCTGCTTTCGACAGCGTCGACTCAAGCAACAGCTCTCCGCGAGCTGATTTTTGGCAGACCAGAAGTCTCGATGCTGGTGAACGTAGGACGATACCTAGCACAACCATTCGCGAACGGGTTGAGACTCCAAAGACGAACGGATCTAGTCCCTCGTCAGGGCGACCCTCTGCTGAAGCAATTGAAGAGATGAAGAGCCGATTTTTGCCACAATCACCTTCGTCACCTGGCTCACGAACAAATGCGAGCATCGCGTGTTCCTCGTCTTCGCCTTCCTTCTACAATAATTCACCTGTAGGCAAACCCTTGGAGGGATCGCGAATCCCGCTCTCGAGACGGTCTTGCGGTTCTCCAGCGCTTCGTAGTGTAGCTAGCACTTCAAGCCTGTCATCTCCGCGCCTTTCCTGGGCTCCATCTACACCGGAATTAATGTCCGATATGTCAGACATTACGACAGAGGCTTCATCTCCATCTTCTCCCCTGCCCTTTAGTCCACCAGCACGCCATGTCGGCATCTTCGGCAATGGTAATACGCTGTATTCGCCCGACAAACCCAGTGACTTTGTTGAGTCAGAGCATGACACTCGAGAGGTTAATTCGACAACAACACCTATACCAGCCGAACAGACACTCAATCGACTTTCTATCTCTTCTACTATCCTAACACCTGATTCACTTTGCGCGAAGTGTGGAGGGTCCCTTTCTACAAGCAGAACAGCAGGCCGGTTTGTCACCGTCCCTGATGCTAATACTACAGGGCCACCGAAGACATATCACCCCGAGTGTTTCAGATGCGTGATGTGCGATGGCCCCTTTAAGGTGTCTGGGATCGGCCAAGCAGTCTTTGCCAGAGGGGAAGGGGGGGCTTGTCATGTGGAAGTCAGTCTCATGCGTTCACTCATTTACCTGAGCTATCGACTTACCAGTTGCAGTGCACCCCTCATGAAAAGGCTCGGGTCAGATCTACATCTGTTTCAGGTTCGATCACATCTGCATTCCCTTTGTTGCCCTCGCCCTCCTCGCCGTCAGAATTACGTAGGGGCATCGAGCGGCCGACGGCATCGAGTGCCGCAAAGACCGTCACTCGAGCCTCAATGACAGCCACTACCACTCCCTACTCATCATCTCGTCTGGAAAGACCAGCACCCAGGTCGTCTGCGCTTGCAGTACCCACCACGCCCCCTCGTTTTGGCAGCTCGACGACATGCCCGGCATGTTTCAAATCCGTCTCTCTTATGGAGATGGGTGTAGTGCCTGGTCCTCAAGGTTCTAGATGGCATGCCTCCTGTCTTGTGTGTGGTGGTAAGGGAGCGAATAAAGGGCGACGTGACAAATCACAACCTGGTTGCGGCAAGAAGCTGGACTCTGCTGCGAAACGGGATATTGATGGAGGTGTTTGGTGTAGGGAATGCCTTGTAAGTCCACGCGATGTTCATCTTCGAATCTAATATATTCATAACGTCATCGACAACCAGCTTCTGCTTCCCCTGGATCTGAGAAACCCTCAAGCAGACTCGCCCACCAAACCACTTGTGGCATCACTGACGGGTCGCAGCGTAGGCGGTGGCACTTCCACATCTAGAGCTGTTCAGCCCCAGTTCACAGGTACCACCACAATCGCCCGTCAGTTTACTGGGTTGCGTGGCAGTGACGCAGCGCTTGCGAGACAATTGACCGGTGGTGGCTTAAGTCCGACGAAACAGTTGGGCACTGCTACGCCTCGGCCCAGACCCAAGAGCGTGATTGGCATGAGAAGTGGAAAGAGCGTAGATGAGGGTCGGGGGATGTTCCTAGTTCGGCAAATGACCAATGGAGGAAATTCGTTTGGTGTATAAACTGTTTAGACTCTAGAGTCTGAACTCAGGACGATTATTGGAATCTATGATATGTACTTTGATAACAATAGTGCCGCGTGGCTCACATGAAATGAGAATAGATTACGGGCCCAGGAGCGTGAAGCGTACGACCAATTTTTAATTATCTATGAAGCTCGACCACGACCAAGTCATACTGATGCTCGCGTGATATCACTGAAAAATTCCAGCAAGCCATGGGTTCCGGTCAGTGCACTGCGTCAGATACCAGCACAGCTATAGTTCATATTTACATATACTTATATACCAGAGAAGTCGAATGGTGCAGCAGGCTACTGTAACGTCAGAACCATTCTCAAGGATGTGATTAGTTGACGGTTACGATTAATCTTGAAATTTGCGAGAACCTCCGGGAAATGGTAACTCCAGGCAGTAGACTTCTGGGACTTGTCTGCGTCAAGGTCGAGCGGAGTATGAACTGTTATCTGTGAGACTGACGGCAGCTGACTAGCGCTGACCGCCTGCCCTATGTCACATGCTTGATTCCGCCTTAGTGCTCATCTAACTCGACTGTGCTCCGCCGCGCCCTTCGCTGGTGCAGCAGTTAGCAACCAGTCGCCCGATCGACGCGAGCCATAGCTGTAACCCAGCGATGATATGTAGGGAACTCGTGATGGTCGTAAAAATCGTGAAAGGACGTGTCGTGGCGTACAGAAGGATGTATCATGATGTTGGCAGGAAAAAGAGATGTACAGGTGTTGGGTGGGCGGCCAACGATGAGGGAAGGAACAGCTTTGAGGCTTGAGCGCTGATTTGAAACTCCGTTCCACCAACCCAGGAATGAAATTTATTCCTCTGCACAGGTCACTTGTGACTGGGACTACGACGTGACCAGAACATTATACCGGTGATGATGCATACTTGCAAATTTTGCGCCAGATCAGTGAAGCACGGTACCGTTTTTTTTCGTGCTGATGTGTTGCTGATTCAAATGCCACTGCGCAGCCGGGTCCCGTAACTGCAGTGCTACGATGACGGGTTCTCTCGATCATTTTATGAAAGAGAGTTAGAACCGTGATGCGGGTACACGACACGATGTCTATGATGGAATACTCGTTCCTTTTCCGTTGCTACAAACGTTAGGCCTTACTAAAGATCGGTGGAAGTTCCCGTCAGGAGTCAAGACCCATGAGAATACCTATGGAACCCAGCGGACGGCGCACTTGTCTGACTCTGACCCAGGTCGGTGCCGAGTGTCTTGATTCTTTTCGCGATCTGTACTCAATTTTTGTTGTGGTGAACCCTTTTCAGCTGGGTCTTGTCATATACATCTGTTTCTCGGCGGACACTCTCGAGGTCAAGGGCTGAGAGACCGCGCCCCTCCTATCTTGTGTTCCCGATGCGAGACTCGCAAGTGGAATGCAGAACTGTTAAATAGAATAGCCGTGAGGAGCCCAACAATCACAAATCCCCTTCTCCATCCCTTTAAGTCTGTGCCCCGTTCCTCGTAGTCCTCTTGCGGAACAACCTGGCAGCTTCCGCCAACTGAGGCAAACCAGCTGATACTGAGATTTGATGCCGGACTGAGTTCCATGGGGATTCTTATGGGTCCTACCATACCTTTCAAATTTCAAAATTTGATTCGTGAGGCTCCGAAGCAAAATTCGGATACGCACGCATTACATGGTATATGCTCCTCTTGTTTCCGATCGAAGTATGTATTGTGGGTGCTTAATTCATTAACATTGTCGTAAGACTAACTCAACTTCTAGGCTGAGAAGTGCATAACCCACCCTACTACTTACTGACTGAGTATGGGAATTCAGGTAAGCCAATGTGCTTACATCTATCGTCCCCTGTTACTTGTCTAAAAATTTTCGGTTCCCTGACAAGGTATGAGCAACCACCCTGAGGACCCCTATGGAACCCAGTGCATAGGCTTGAAGGCGCCAACTTCTGGGAACCGAGAATTTTTGAACGAGTGACAGGGTCAGGGAGAGATGTCGGTATATAGGGTAGTGGCTGCGGGCAAGCCCGAGAGTTATTTAAGGACGACAGTTTGTCCTTCTTATCTGTTTTCATATGCCTCTGCTGGGTATCTTTATTTTCGCTGGTGGTTGTCAGAAAACCTGACGGTAGACCATGCATGGTACCTAGAGTATCTTATTATGTAATGATAATTTTGTGTGACGGTTTAATATTAATATCGATCATAATTTCCTAATTAGCCTTTTGAAAGGTCACTGCATTTCGATCTTTGCGCGCCTTGTTACAGGTTACATGTTACACATGGCTGCGTTCCGAAATCTGTTAACCATACGTTCGTTGCTATTATCGTTGTCTCCCGTCGTCAAGCAAATGATTCTTCTGCTCTAGGATCCGCGAGGCATCGGAGAGAAAAAAATAGAATGCGGCTTTATTATGTTTGTTTTTCGCCCCCCCCCCCCCCCCCCTCATATCCTTAGAAGAGCTTCAGTGATCTTCCCAAGTAACGTTCCTTTTACTATTGGAGGCGCCATTTTGGATGCTTGATATCATCAGTCTTTGCTCAGCTTTGCTCGTACACTGCCGACTGGTTTCCACACTAGCTCACTGTTTCATCTCTTTTTCTCGTCTAACTTCAGTTCTTCTAGTTCGCTGGGATCAACTGCGAAGAGGCTTGCCTCAACGCCATTTCATTCCTTTTGGGTCATATCCGCTTCCATGTCCAGTGCGACATTCGAGTTCTCGACATGCAGCTTGGGATATAGCTTCATCTCTTCTGCAGTGTCGAGCAACAATAACTGTGATGTGAGTCCAATGACCTATAGGTCATTCGCCAAGCTGATGAGGGCTTCAAGGTTGAATCCATATTATCTGGCATACCCTTCATCTCAGTCGGAATGTTAGCTTGTGGAGCATCTGCATTATTTTTCGTCATCAGACCTTTCACGCTGTGAGTAGCAGCGGTATTTTATTGACCGTGCGGAGCTGACGCTTAATTCAGCGCTGTTGTTTCTCTTTATTTTTCAGTGTTGCTGTCTTTCGCAGCTGTTGTCATCGACCTGACTCGAATCCTCATCTATGCCTTGACTCAGGTCACCGTACAGCCATTGATCATAGCAAGGGAAGTTTTACTTGCCATATCCCTCGGCCTACGTTTTTTGTGCTACTGGTTGTATGTCTCTGAACCCCCTATCGGAGAACCCCAACCCCCCGCTTGTCAGGATCGATGGAACAACTTTCTCACACTCGGCTCTCAGCACAATATCCACAGTGGTAGCTGGTCTCGGTGGGGTGTTTCAGGATTATATGCAAAGGTTGCTTTGTTGGCCACCATCCCTGCTATCACTGCTTTGCAAATCATTTGGCGCTTAATTCAAAGATACCATGTTTATGGGGCGGTATATGCAGTAAATGTTACACTGGAGATCGTGGTCTCATTGTTGCTTCTTCTCAAGCTGCTAGTTAACACCATTCCAACCCCGTCGATTACCCGATCGCACACTTTCGGGGAATATGTGTTTCCCATTTTGGCGCTAATGTTTAATATTGGCATTTCCGTCGGAAACTTGATTCTCTGTAGGTTAAATGCTCATGCATGCGTTGCTTTACTGATTTTTTTGGCAGTCGCATTCACAGAGTCAATACTCGGCCGACTTCTTCAAGCAGTAGAGCTCTATATCTTGATCGTCTTTATGATGATTCTCCAATTTCTTCATCACAAAAAGACCCCAGCTATTTCCAAGACCAGGGATTTGGCACTATTGAAAGTCGAATTGCCAGACCGGGCTCGTGAATCAACATTCAGGCTATCCCCACCAGTGGTATCTACACCCAGAGTAACAACGCGTCCCAGTTCCGGAAATCAGAGCAGAAGTATAAACGCTGATGTCACCCGTCATTCTGTGCTTACTACCGTAAGCCGTACCCCATGGGTTCCTTGGAGGATGTCCCATGGCCAGTCAGACCAAGATGAGGAGAAAGCAAAGCTATGGGACCAGAGCGAAATTGGGAAGGGGGCCCCCGATCTGCCTGCTGTGGGTCCAGGCAGTGCCGGAAATCAGAGTATGACTTCCACCGCCCCTGTTACGGACGGGGTACCCACAGAATGGAGAGACATTGTAAATGATTCTGTTTCCAACTTCTCAAGGTTATCCATTCTCGATGCCCAGTTTGCAAGCCCCGGATCTAGAAACAGCTCAATCAGCAGTGGTCAAATTTGGCATGCAGTTCGTGCAGACATACCTACCCGCCCTCATCCTCTGAAGTTGCGGACCGTGTCTCTTGCTATTCCGGCGACTGCAACATCCTCCGATGAAAATGGAGCCGCCGTTATCATGACTGCCCCTCCAGATCTTCCAGCTCAAAATTCGCCTATCTTCGCGATCAAGGGCTTTACTCCTCAACCTCCACAAGTTCCCAGCAGGAAAAGTTCGTCCAGCAGATCGCTCGAAGAACTTCTAGAACTGCAGAATGAACTAGATAAAACAATCGCAATGCTCCGAGTATTTTCCCCGAGTTCTCCAATTTCCCACTCTTCGACCTTCACTTCTCCGACCTCCACTTCTCCAAGCTCCCCTTCATCATCAAGACGCGATTCGAATCAGGCTGAACAACCACGTCAATCATCCTCCACTAGCGCGCGGACGGTGTCCGACTTTTCTTTGAGCAACTTCCCCTCCCCACCACAGTTGGCTCCTTCTCTTCCTGCATCCTCGCCGGCTGTTAAATTACGATCGAAGGAAGACCGTCGGACCCGTCTTCAGTTAGATCCAGACTCAATTTCCGATACTCTTGGACTTCCGCTGCCAAGAATTCCTGCAGCTTTGGAAGACATGCCTAGCTCTCCTCGTTCTGATCTCGCGTCAGACTCTTCCTATCAAGAAGATAACGAGGTATTACCTGCGGACACGGGACGACCTCATAGGTTCGATTCTGGCGGAACGCAGTACGAGATTACGTCTTTCATAGGCTGCAAGTCTTGATTCCTGAATTTCCTGAGCGATTTCTAAAATATCTATTGTAGATTTAACAACCCCTGATAGCCACAGGAATGCGATGGTGTACAAGCCTTCGGATGTGTCTGGAGAGAGTGCGCCCAATCTTGACGTTGCTGAAAGCCACAGATCTCGAGAAACTTCCCCTCACTTGCCCGTATCGCCTTTCCATCCGTCGCCTTTGGGGGAGGCAAGACTAATGAGATTGCCATCATCTTCTGCAAGACATAGGAGATCGCAACTCTCAACGCAGATGAAGCTATCGCCTATCACAAATTCTGAGGAAGAAGCTTCAGATCCGGACCTGGAGTCAGCCGTGCCTCTAGTACAACGTGGGATGCGACCTCCAATACTTCCATCCATGACGATGACCTCCCCTCATGTCCGGTTGTCAAACGTCAGTACTGGTATGCGGTCGTCAAGAGGGTTCATTGGCCTCCCACGAAGACCACGGCTCGCACCAGATTTTGGTGCTTCAAGGCCACTATCCGAAGATATGCATATTCCTGGAGCATTTGAGCGATCACAATCAACACCATTAATTTTCCGTTCAGACGACGAATATTATTCGACAGGTGCAAGATCATGGTAGCCATATTTATTTCTAATGTTATGTTGAGTTTTGACCTTCGCTGGTCGGAGGTGCTGACAGCTAAAGGCTTTATTCCTGTAAATATGGCGTCGGACTCCTATCTCACTGTACTTGATCTGTGGACTGTTATGCTGGTTATGATAATAGTATCCTCAGCTTGCCATACAGAGTAGTAGCATGCTGTCCCATCACATATGGATCGCTTTCCCATACGGTACGAGTGCACCGACCAACCACTCTCATGCGTCTGGTTTGGAGGGAGTGCTTACGTTGTGAGGGGAAACAGGACAACCGGCTATATCCGTTCGATGAACACTATCAACAGGGGCCAAGCTGCAGTAGAATCTGTTTAGGACCCAGCCAGATCTAGTCCCAAGACGATGACAAACGGAAGTTTTGAAGAAACAGCGGGATGACAACACAAAGAACAGATTGCGAACGCAGATGCGTATCCAGATCTGGGAGCACGCGCTCGTGATGCGCAAACCAATTGTTGTCCTGACTAGTTATATGGGTAAAAATAGGCTGGACCACGATAGGATACATGTACGAAACACAGTAACCCGGGTTTATATATACCGACCTCATGGGGATGGTTGTTGCTGTTACACCAGGGGCGCAAAAGATGAGGGACCCCATTAGACAATCTCCTGCCGTTATGTTCTCGTTGAAGTTTTGGTATTTCCGAGGCGGTAAAAGGTGTTGGCGGCAGGACCGAAGCAAGTGCACTTTGGTCAAAAGCGAGGGTGCATGAGTAACCTCCGGGTGATACGGTCGACGTCAACAATCATTGTATTCAATGAAGTCAGGTGTTGAAATTGTGGTGGATATTCCACGGGGGTTGCACGTATTTGCCACCGATCAAGTTGACGAAACGTTAGTGATGAGAAACATGACAGGCAAAATGTATACCCCGTGGTATGCATCAGCAGTGAAAAAAGGGATGATCAGGATCTGAGCCTCGACGATGATCTGTTGCAACACTGGCTCAGCATCATGATCATATACAAAATGACTCAACGAAAGTAGAGGCTCTGCCTATCGCCCGATACTATCTGGCAGCTTCCCACTGAAATGCCAGATTGTATTTTTTCCTGCACTGCGATCGATGAAAACTGCCATGGAACATTCAGTAACACTCAGAAATAACATAACAGTTCCAAGATACTAGCAAACGAGTCGTAACATGCAACAGCAGTCGAAAAATTCACATGTGTAGTCTCTCCAAGTGTTTCAATCCGGGGTAATTTCGTATGAATCGATTGTTAACAGTTGTTGGCCGCCGTCAGGCATTTGTTCGGAACGGCGACGGGCTTACTAATGATGTAATTGATTCAACCCTGACACGGCGCAGGAGCAAGCTTGGAGCAAGCACCTCATTCTCCATACCTCATACATATACCTCATTCTTTTTCCCTCGACATTCTTAATACTCCACATGTCGAGCTTTCCCGATTACTATGCGCTGCTCAACGTTTCAAAGACGGCCACCCCCGAGGAGATCAGACAGGCTTATAAAAGGGAGTCACTCAGGTGCTTTGACAGTCATAACACTAGTAGCACTTCTCGACTTAACCATTTAGCTTTGCAGGACTCATCCGGATAGATTTTCCAATGCCACTGAAACCGAGAGAAAGACGGCGACAGAAAAGTTCCAAGTTCATGCAACGTATCTACTGCCCTGGAAAGCATGTTAACCTATCAAGCAGGCTGTAGCCGATGCCTACTATGTTCTATCGGATCCAGCGCGACGGAAAGAATATGATGTACTATTCTCCTCGAAGCGGGCTGGGGATAAAACCAGTGACCCCAAGGCGTCTTCGAGTTTCTTCACGCAATTTGCCAGCATGTTTGGAGGTGCAGGTGCAGCACCAGCTCAGGGGCCGAGACCTGATGCTGAGAACGTGTTTGCGGACGTCTTTGAAGAGGTTCCACTCCCACTTTCTCAGCACTGTATATTAGTTAACTATTGTATAGCTGCTCCGTCCAGAGGTCGAACGTCATGCGCCATGGTGGTCATACATTGGCGCCGTTTGTGGTGGTGGTTGGTTATTCATCTTCTTATACAATTCTCTCAATTAACCATTCATTCATCAGGAATGGGATTCATAGTCGCCAATCTGCCAGGTCTCATGATAGGCGCATATGCAGGTAACCGCGTCGGTGCGATACGTGATGCCAAAGGTAAGAGTGTTGCTGCGGTATTCTCTGAACTCGGAGGTAGCCAGAAGGCCGAGGTAAGCACTGAATTCGTTGACTCTATTGTGCCGTCTGACGAGGTCTAACCAGATCTTGCGCGCTTTAGCTGCGAAGGTGCTAGGTGCCACTATGCAATAAACACGTCATAGTATGCGTCGTACCTATGTTCTGCTCTATATTTATGTTTAGGAACCCCGGGTCATGTACTTTGTTAGTGCACTGTATCGTTAGATTGTTTTACCCTCAACTTTAAGCTGTCATTAGCGCTGAATGTCGAATGTTGAACAGAGGTCTCCGCTCCACATCGTTTGTAACATCAACCAATCCGGAGATTCAATATTGCTTCTCTGACATGGGCTTTTCCTGCTGGCTGATATTCTACTTTCTCTTCAGGTCCTTTCCCGCCCAACACATCCCAATCGACTTCTTCATATATGTTGTTGGATCAATGTGATCCATGCGAATTCCCGGTACGTCCCAAATTCATTATGCATAGTGCTGAGTGCTTACTATTTCATGGGTGTCACAACTCATAAGTCGCGAGACTTGCAAACATTGCAAGTTGCAGCCCACTGGCATTCCCCGTGTCAGGTGTCTCTCCCAGTACACCGACGAGCGATTTCGAACTTGATGTATCGCTGGCCAAGGACACACGTAGCCGTAAGCGCAAGTGGTATCGCTAACTCCTGTGTTAGAGTCTGCCACCAAAAAACGACGAACAAAAGCTAATGTCATGGATCTCGATTCGAATGTTCGGGACAAAACTAATGACAAGATTGTATGTATGTCCCCTCTTCATTCAGTTTTATCCATATATTCACTGGCCTTTCAGCTGCATCTAAAGCTCGGCATATGATCACTTCACGATATACTTACAACGTTACTTGAAGGCTGACTAGACGCAAACTCACCGAATTTTCCTTTACAAGAGGAGCCGCGCAGCAGCAAGCACTTGTAAACTCTAATTATATCAATGACCTCCAAGTCAATATTCGATATCCAACAAAACATAGTCTCGCGCCATGATAGCCAGATATATAACAGGCTAGTTGAATTGGAAGATATTCTGGAGGAGCTTTACAGATGAATGGGGATTGTACATAAATACTCAGCTGTGGGTATGTAGAGTGCCCATGATAAAATACCGAAACACTTTTAGGAACACAGCTTGCCTTTATAGTGCTGCATAAGATTGTTCTTGTAAAGGAATCTCTACCAGCAATTTGTGTCAGCCAACCCGCAACAAGGACCGACAACTTGAACTCACTCAAGCCTCTAGGTTGACGCGGTCGTGACGTGGCACTGATGAGTACTCAAACTACGGTCTGAAGCCCTGGTACTATGAAGAGGCAAGCGCTGGCAGGTCACTAGACTAGTAATATCAGCCTTGGTTCAGTTGTGCATTTGATCAACGTGCTTAAGCGCTTTGCGCACATACACCGACCACTGAGCGGTTTCGCACGATCGCAAATCCTGTATAAGTTGGTGAAACCTATTTTGCGAGTACCCAGTGACTTGTCGATCACCCTACTACAGCAAAACGTTTATTGTCTTCATCTGGTGTTCGTCAGTGAGTGGACTTTGAAGTTCACTCGCAATAGTCTTCAGGCTTATTACTGGTTCGCCCCCCACTTCACAACCCTAAATAACACAGGATCAGGAGCATGCCATCTTTCATCACTTTCAAGTTGTAACGGAGTCGCATTTGAATTATGGTTAATAAGAGGAGTACGTGGCACCTGTTTATGAAACACTCCTTGTTGCACGAATGGACGAACTTTTAGGACGCTCCGTACTCGAGGACGCCAATGATCTCGATGCCACCGACCATACAATAGACCCATCTCCTGATGTCGTTTGTGCGCGTGAGTTCGTATCTGGTGAACGTTTCTTTGCTAGGAAATAATAACGTCTCAAAAGCATGCATTGTCTCATCAGCATCCAAAAATAATGGCACAGTGGCAACCTCTAGCCAACCACGTGTCCCAGACAACTTGACTACTAGCCTGAGTTCAAGGCCGCCTCAAAAAAAATTGAAGCACAAGTCTGCAGCTCGCCGTCGCTCAAACACTGATTTGAGCACTTTCGTGAAACGGACAACCGTTAGCGGTCGTGCTACTCGGGCTTCGTTCGTCTCGGTGCCCAATACATCTCTTCGGTCTGCAACCAGTTTATCGCCTCGGATGTCATCACGGTTGGCAAAGAAGATCCATCCTTTTATTCTTACAAAAAGTCGAGACATCTATCCGTACTTAGCTTCCAAGGATTCCTTGGACTCGACCGAGTCATTGCGAGAGGAGCACGGTGGCACACGGAGCTCAACACCTTCAGCATCTACTCTCAAGAAAAAGATGGGCTCTCCGCGTAACATCAATCTTGCCGATGATGGTGCAAAGGCTGCGCTCATGGAAGAGTGGGCAAATCATCGCATGTCTCAAGGAACACTGCTATCAAGTATGAATGCAAGTAAGGATACAACGACGCACCTCTCTAGTAATCGTGGAAGTCAGGAACCCTGCAACGAAGCGCAGATCCCGTCCGGTGAAGTGGCTGAACCCAACAATCCACACTCCACTCCAACCAATGACCACATAGAACATCCTTCCTGCTCCCTATCTAACCAAGTGGTTGAGCCACTTCCAGACTCGGATGCCCCTGCTACAAATGAGTTACTATTCACTCCCCCGCTCCCGCTGGGTGAGGAATTTACTCCACATAATAGTTTGTCAGATTGTGACTTAAGGTATCCGAGCTCGTCACCGGAGAATGTTCATGCAGCGATTGAGGATATGACTCCACCGCAGTATGTTAATGAGGGGACAACGGAAACAATAGCCCAGGCTTCACATACCCCTGTCATCGATTCTCTAGAGGTTGTGGACCAGCCCCTCCAACTACTTGCTACCGACAGTAAAACAGTGACGTTGCATCCCCCAAGTAGTCCTATACTCTCAAAGCTTGATATCCTCCCCGAGACCACGATTTCGGCTGGACCTGCTGCCATTGTCAAACCTGCAGAATCTTCGGGTAGAGCTTCTCCTCCCGTCGATATTCAACTCGTTGTCTCACCTCAAGCCGATATCGATGATATTGTTTTGGGTTTTCACATGCTGGACCTGCATGAAGTGCTTTCGCCATGGGTGCCAATGTCTCCCGCAGCACCATCTGTTTATGTCCCACCTGCTGTGCAGCACTTAATCGCTGGTACTTACCTCAGTTGCATTACTTTTGACCTGAACTAACTGTTTCCGTCAACTAGCCATGAACCGTCAACTAGAAATCGAATGTCAGGCCCGAAAACGAGCTGAAGAGCTTTATCTAAATGAAATGCGCAAGCGCATCAAGATGGAAGAAGTGGTTGATAGGTTACAGAGGGAACGGGGACAGACACAGGAGCAAGGTGCATCTCCATCTCAACAACCTCCCTTATTGCATGCTTCACCGCGTGCGGCTTCGGCGCACGCAAGCCCAGAAGAAGCTGGGCAGTGGGATGGTGGAGCCAAACCAACATCCACTGATACCACTTATCCGGATGTTACGACGGAAGATTCTTGTGCCTGAGGCACCGAGTCATCTCACTACTCAACTTGCTTTCGATCTGATTCTACTGCTGTATTTCTGCTTTGTCGCAATCTATACGAACTCAACCATGGGTACCGCAACGTTCTGGATGATCTTTCATACGGATCTAAAATTTTCATTAGGTCGCGTTGAACCTGTATACCACTTGTCCCCAAATAACAGTTCAGATACATGATTGATAAAATACAGTTTCGTCGATCACCCAAAAGAAAAAAGGGAGCATTCTACAGAACAATTGATTTACTTCAATGGCAAAGAAACCTGCAAAACCGTGACTGCGGTATTAGCGTGTGTGCATTGGGAAAAATATTGCTGTTAAAAAGAAACAGGGATTTTGGATCGAGTCCAGACGGAGGTGCATGCGAATACTATCATATGGAAATGAGGCATAATCAAAGACTTTGGAAAGATGAGATCTTGATAATTGTGGTTGTAGGGGCCGATGCGTCAGCTAGTGCCACAGCTCGCCCACTTGAGAGTCTATCATGACAGAAGGGATATCACGAAGGGCATCGTAGTCGCCTAAACCTGCTGCACCGTTGGCTATTGCCAGACTAAGAGCCGCAATGGCCTTTTCAGTCCGCGAGGCAGAGGAGTTCAGAGACACATCTTCTTGGCTGGATGCAAAGGATACGGCAGTGGGATGAGACGATAGAAAGATCGAATTTTGCATAGGACTGGAACGTGGTGCCTCAGAGGAACAAGCTGGAGAGCTGAATGAAGGGCCAGATAGAGGTGGACTAAATGCCGTGGTATAAGCAGAATATTTATATGCTGGAGATGATGATGTTGAATGCAATGTGTCAGGGGAAAATGTGCTGTTAAAGGAGCGGCGGGAAAGATTGTCTGCATCGTCGTTGGAGGACGAAGAACGGGTGGATGCTTGATCCTCATATTCTAATAAAGGACTAGACTGCATCTCGTCATCGTCCATGTCCACGGGCCCAAGGCTAGATGCACGCTTTTGACGGGAGATGGGGAGACCGCAAAGCTCTCCCGAGTATATTTGGATATCATCCTCGTCACTATCAGAGCTGTTAGACCTTCTGACAGATCTGGTCACGGGGACACTAGGGGAATGCCGCTTCTTGGTTCTTTGTCTGTCGACGGTTCTAGCGCGCTTGTATATACCCGATTTTGAACGGGAATGCTCAAAATCACGCATCCGTTTTACAAGGCCTTCCCCGCTTACGGCAATACTTCTGCGGAGTTCCCAAAATGCATCCGACCTGAGGCGAGTAGCATCAGCCTCGGAAATATCAGAGTGCGAGTCCCGGATGCCGACAAGGTTTGTGGAGCTTGACTTCTCAGACACGGTTTCTCTAGGACTCGAGCGGCCAGGGAACAGGAGAAAATCTTCTGGAGTAGTAGCGAATAGTGGTGTGTGGGGAGCAGAAGAGCTGAGTCCGGAACTGTGGCTATCCGTCGACGCCGGGGTAGACGACCCAGTGGTATATGTCAAGGAAGGGGGCTGAAAATCCACAAGATAGTTAGTGACCCTAGGATAGACGCTAGAGATGTCATCGGCACGAACGGATATATCTCTGCGGAGTCTCTTGCCCGTCCGCCAGAAGTCGAAATTACGTGTTTGGGGGGATGCGGAATCTGGAAGAGCAGGACTATTGCATGATGAGCGAACTCGTTTGCTTGCTGGACGCCAAAGACTTTTTGGAACGGGCGAGGGCGAGGGCGAAGAAGTTGAGAGAGATCGTCGGTGATAATTAAATGTTGACGGAGACGACATGAACCTTGGAAGTATGAAAGATTGGATGGGACTTCTTCGTCGATACTGGCGGTGATGAGGCCCAAATAAACAATGGAAGGTGGTGGTGGTGGTAGAATGGCAAAAGACTCCTTGACGTTCCGCGTCGGTTCAAGGCTCGTAATCAAATGACATATCAGCTTATATAACGTGTGTAGCCAAATCCTTAGTTTAGCCATCTCCAAGAATTGAATTCGAACGCATCCAAACATCACCGTCTTACCTGCAGGTACCATCCTTCTCATTTCAAATAAGTAAGTACATTGTATACCAGCTGGTCAGATACGAGATGTGGCGTTACAACCCCGTTGTGCATTGACAGGTGACTTGGACGTCCGCGTCAGGGATGGAAAAATACGTTCTCCCTCGGTTCAGTGGATTATCAGCCCGCTGCATGCTATTAATTTCGACCAATGGAGTTGAAAGAATGAAGCCGGTATACTGCGCATCAACCTTAACATTCATAGATAAATCTTCCATGTTGTTCATTCGCTTCAACGACCTCACGTTCCCAGAATTTGAAATACCCCAGATACCTTCCTCGAAGGTGCCTCGTATCGGGCGCTTACCTTTACCCTAGAAAGAACTTGCGATCACCAGGAACAACAACAATGTATGCACCGAAATGTGGGCGGCATCTGAGAAGGCGTGGATTCGTTACCATATGCGTTCAATGTATGTGAGCGGTCTTAGCAGTCCAGGTCAGGGTGACGTAGCGGTCATGCGTGCCCTTCAGGTACCTGCCAAAATATTCGGTAACACCCGTGAAGGCTGGCCAGGGAACCCCTGTCCAACGTTGCAATGCGATTCTTCATTACAACCTTATTCTCGGCGCGGCTCACCTGGCGGCAATAACGGCGGAGATTGGTTTATATTCGCAAGTGCGCTCCAGGTGCATCGAGACTGCTATCAAACAATGCTCATCGAGTGAGAATGGCTCTTACTGCGGCGGGATCCAGGCCTAGAACTTTGGCCCAGCTCTAACTCGCTAATGCTGCGGTGTTAGGAAACCATTCCCTGATAAAGTCTGAATAACTGACCACGAAGTACACAGACAAGTTGAAACAGACCGTCGATGCGACATGGTATTATATCGATTGCCGGCGTAGCCTGAACCTATGTTATATGACGTGGCTTAAGGAGGCAAAGTCGAAATCTCACTTGACGCAACTGCCCTGCGTCCGACGATCGTGCAATCTATTTTTATTGCTTAGCTTTACTTCTACGTCAGGTCCAAGATCCTACCTGGTCCATTAAATCTGTCGCAGGCTTTGAAATTCTCTTCTTCAGCCACGACGAGTAGTCGTCCAAGTTGGGACAATCATCTGAACTTTGAATCCGCTGCAGCGCCGATTGGAGATGCGACGTCCACGGAGAAGACTGCATCACCATCGCTAAAGGTTGCAATTATCGATGAGGGATTTTAGGGTAGCATATTGAGGTTTGTGCGCACCAGCATGTTCGTCTGCATGCTTCAGGAGCTGGGAGAGAGCATCGCATATCGTCGGATTGACAACAAGCGCAAGAGGGCTTTCGTCTCCCAAGTAATCTTGCGACCCGATCATGAGGAGAACATTTCGTAGGTAGTCCCAGGCCTCTACTTGGGTAAGTGAATCGGGCAGTCGGCGAGATAATATGATATGCAAAGCAAATGCAGCTACAGAGCAGATGTGAGAACCTCGTGATGCATTCTCAATTTAACGCTCACAAGCCAGAGCTAATTCGGGTGTGGTATTGTCCATGGCGACTTGCCAGATACTTTCGGCATCCGACAGCAAAGGTGCATCGCAGACCTTAATTCCCGGTTGTCCGCGCTGGAATGCCGTTAAACACGAGAGGAAACTCGCGGACAAGTTCGGCAGTTCCTTTTCTGCGGATTCACGACGTAAATATTCCACCGTGGCTTCGAGGAACTCGATTATCAACTTCTGGTTTGAGATCTGGACATTTGAAAAACATTCAATCGTCCAAAAGTCAAGAAATTGTTTCGCTTTGCGAATATGATTCCTGTCAGGCGTATCCTCAAGCAGTTGTCTATGGAAATCTAAGTGAGCCAGAAGTATTACATTTGATGGAAAGCTCACATCCGAGTATTGGACATGTCTGTTGCAAACATATTATTATTTGACAATTCACAAAATGTGAACCTACTTTTCTCTAGCTCATCATAGAACGTTGATGATTCCTGTATCGCCTGCTTCCAACCGTCCCTCAAACTTCTGGGCTGCATCCTAGCCATGGCGTGTGTAACATAGTTGCTAGCTGACGTCGTTCACAAGGCTGAGTAACAGCTTTAAAGCAGGAAGAGTTCGACTCGCCATCGTGTCCGTTTTCAATGCACGAAAGATAAACGAAAAGAAGAGTAAGGTATCTGCAGCAATCACTAGACTTGCGAATGCCTAACAAATCTGAATCGCTCCAATGGACGAAATACCGACATGTCTTTAGTAGAACGTCTGTTTGGGCTGTGGTGAGATTTCGAGGACGTGGAGCTGAAGAAAGATACACTAAAAGCCGAGAAAAATAGGTCTACAGCCAAAGCAATCAGAACATTAGACAGCCATCCAGAATAACACTCACAAGATATGCACAGATCATATATTTGCCATGTTCGTCTCCAGTAAAGGTCGACAGCGTTGATATAGTAGTCTGAGGATCTGAGTCGAAAGTGCAATGAAGCCATGTAGTTGTCTACTCTCATCAATCGAAGTCCTTCAGAGAAGAAGATGGAGTCCTAACCAGAAAGATGATGGTTTCCGAATCAGACCCGTTACATTCCGCGAGTAGTCGCCAGGTCCAAGGTACAAAATGCCTCCATAAAACGAGAACGACCTGCGGGGCATCGAGGTCTGGGCAAGGCGATACGATAGTTTGCACCGAGGGCTTGTTGTCGACAAGCATTACAAAACGTAACAGTCTCATCACTGTCGCTAGCGTGTAAGGTCGAAATGGAACGTCTGTTTCTGTATCTTTTGCACTTATCGTGAAGTCCACGAGCTGTGATGCATTAATTGTCATCGTTTCTGGCTGAAGAATGAGGAATACGAACAGCGAATAGTGAGAGAGCAGCATCGCACAATTCATGCGCTCCTGAAATGCAGATTGGTGTTGCGCGTGTAGTGGGGAGCACTCTGAGAGTTGCACCAAAGTGTGTTGCATAAAGTCTGTGAGATAGGGAAGTAGCGACACCATACTGTTGATACAATCAGGTTTGGCAATGTTAGAACAGCAAGATGAACACTTACCTGTCGTCCAGTGGTACGTCAGCGGTCCTCGGATGAAGAGTCAACTGGGGTTGCAATACATATCGCGAGACCAACAAGCGAAGGGCCAAGCGCTTTGCGGCAGGTGAAGCCTTTTCAGATGTCAGTATCGACGGGACAGAATCCCACCTATCTGGACCAACATAAATAAGCCTGACATCTAACAAAATTGCTGACTACCTGGGAGCTGAGCCGCAGCCCGTAGATTATCTTCCTCTCTTCGTTTCCTCAAAGCTTCAGGAAGCTTATCGTCGAAGTAGCGATCATGCATAGCGCTCGCGACACATGACACCACCTCTCCGAGTCTTGCAAGGACAGCATCCACCCAGGATATGATGATGGGAACGACTGCGACTTTGTTGAGCTCCTGGACGGCTAGAGCGTGGAATAGGCGCCGGTACTGGAACAGCAGATTTAAAAAGGACGGTCGCACTGAAGAATAGGCACCTCATGAGTGGAGCCAAATGATAGACAAGAAATCACCTACGTAGGCAAGCGAGGGATTCCATCATGCAGCGTACATCATGGGCGGAGGTTGGACTCATCGCAAGCACGACATGCAAGAACTCTAGGAGTGAGGCCGATGACTCCTGAATAGTTCCATGTAAAGACGCGTCCTGTGCACGTTTGAGTACGATTGTTATTCGTTGATTTCGAAAGCGATACTACCTTGCGAATGAGACTGAAATCCAAGGACTCTAATGTCTTGATGGCCGAATTCACAGCGCTGATGGGATCTGAGGAATGGGTTTGGGGCGTGTTCACTAGCTGAGCGATACTGTCGCTCAGCGTACTAGTGATGGAAACATCGGTGAGGTCTAATGGGCATGCTTTCTCAGGTGATGAAGGAACGTCGGACTCTGGCTCAGTCTCACTATCGGACATGAGATACAAGGTAGAGGGACATGGAAGTAAACCGTGGTCGTCGCTCTTGTATTATATTTGCCCTGCGTGACACAGAATAAAGTTGCATGGAAGTCAGAAGCAGCACCGCGATCTTCGATAACCATGGTTTCATAAATTTTATCTATAGTCCTTTAATGCCCTTTAAAAAAGCAGTAATATCAGACTTGCATTCTAAATGCTCTTCATTTTGCGAAAACACAGCTTCAAATGCTTCCTGTCCTTCAACAGTCTACACCAAGTAATCAGCATCCACCAAAAAAGAAAAGAGAATATAATACTTCTCCGTCACAAAAGTCCAGGTCTTGCCAGTCCTCCTCTTCTTCAGCTCGGATAGCAAGCAGCATTTCACGTCGCACGGCAGATAAACCACCTTGCAGATTACCCTTGTCATCCGCAACTTTTCGCGCAGATACTTGAACCTCTTTCACTTCAAGCGGTTTTTTTTCTTTCTTTGCTGCAGTCTGTACAGGTGGTGGTTCATCAGGATCAGGCGGAGGACCCTCATCAGAATCCTCATCAGATCCAGCATCACCTCTCGAACGACGACTTTTTCGAGACATGACATCCAAGTAAGTCAGCGTCGGTCGAAATTGATGGGTTTCGTTGATGGGTTGCAGATGTAATTGACCTTCGTGCACTAGATAAGACCAAGCGGTGTCACCATAAATGGGAACAGACCATTGCGAACCACTCCCAACATATACGCGCCCTCTTGCGGTATTAGTTCGCTCCGCATGCGCACTTCGATCAACCGCGGCTCCTCTCCTTCCATCTGCTTCATCTTCCCAACATCCTGATTTTTTTCGCGGTCATCTTCTTGTCGAGCAGCACCGAGTGATTTGCTCCGTTCACCATTCCACACCTCTGGACGCGGATCCACTGGTACATGGATCTCTAATCTCCGCGTGATTGGCTTTATTCGTGCGCGAATTCGTTTTCCACTGACTGCAGCAGCAGGAGGTGTTTGTAATGGACGAGAAAGAAGCGGAAATTGGTGAATGTGCAAGTTCGGACTGAGACTGTTTGAATAGTGGATAGGCAGCACGCTGATGAGCTCGTCATCGTCCATCGTGAACCTTGAGCGCTTGAGTTTTGATAGACTGATCGTGGGAGTTTGAAATGTTTAATACTTAGTGGGAACGGTTACAACAAATATTTACTAGTCACTACTGCCGATGCGGCTTCTCAGCTCAGTGGTAATGCAAGTGAATTGGGGATGCGATGTCTATGTTACAATATGGCTAGCTTGTAATGAAGGTTGAGCCTCCGGATCCGGACGTAGTGATAAACTAGGTAAACTATCATGATACCGTTGCTCCCCAAAAACCCTTTCCGTGAGTTTCGTATCGCTTCTATGACACGATGAAACATCGTCGGGGAAATAATCGACTTCGGGCGTGGGTGGATGAGGGGGTAAAATGGTATTAGGGCGGGTTTCGACTTGGTGGGGAGAGAACGCGTTGGGATGGGGATCTCCCCGCGGGGAACGGGAGGGGTCGCGCAGAGCTTCGGCATCGTGCCGACGGCTCATTGGATAGCGCCGGGTGCGCACTTGGAATGAGCGTGCACCTGATGATCTAGGAGATCTTACCCTCCCCTCCGCTGAAATCTCTGCGGTACTGCAGTCTGTACGAAAACTGCGATGCCAAACGTTCGGCTGCTGTAATAGAGCTTCGTTGTCGTGGCGGCGGATGACGCGACCAAAACTGTGCATCACAAGACACGAAACCAAGGCCCCTGCATCGATGTGAGTTTCCAAAACACTGGATGTGGGCTTAGTGGAGCCAACTCACAGTCAAAGGTCATCCAAGCCACATGATCGGCTGGATCCGTGCTGTTAACACCGACTATAGTCATTATGACTGAAGCGGCGGTGGAAGCGGCGATAAAGGTGGTGTAAAATAACTGAATGAGCACGTAAGGCTGGAACGCATTAACCAAAAAGAGCTGCTTACTTCATCTCTCATTACTTCTTTAAACAACGCTACTCGAGGCATATATCGACTTATGCGACTGATGGACGAGATGGCAGGAGAAGATGACCGGCGAGGAATTGGGGCATCATTGCGAGTATTTGGAATTGTGGTGGACACGCGGATTGTGGATGTGCGAGTGGATTCTGTAGGCAGTGGTGGGATGGGCGGTCTAGAGGGCACATTCTCCAGATCACGCGCTCTTTCGCGGGTACGAAACTTGGGAAGACGGCTCATGGGAATGCTCCGGTCATGGGAGAGAGACCGAGTTCTACGGGATCTGGGGTGAAATGGAGCAGGATGATCTACAGTAGGAACATAATCCCACCAGCCACGGCGACTCTGAGTGGTCTTGTGACTCTCGCTGCTCTCTTTTCGGGTGTCTAGATGGGGATCTGCGACATCGTCAAGAGAGAGTGATACGGTGATTCTTCCCTGGACGGCGGTGGAACCACGTGATTTCCAGACAGCATAGAGAACTGTGATGATGAGTCTCGTTGGGGTCAAATAATAAGTTTGGACTCACAGCAAAGACAGATGAACAGCGATTCGACAAATAAAAGTATTATGAAAGCATATGAGATGGAATTAGAAGGTCTATAGCAGCGGCCTTGTTGTTTTAATTTAGTAGCTGAAAGTGGGGATAAAGAGAGATAGAAGAGGTACCTGCAAGACTGCGATAACTGTTAAGTGATGCCAGATCAAGAGCGAGGAGAACGATTGCAGCGGTCCTTAGTGCGACCAAGACTACTAAAACTAAGCGAGAGTTGTCTAGACATCGGTAAGCCTTTACGCCTAGAATACCGGACATCTATGTTGTATAGAGGTTAGGTGAGAAAAGATGATAAATATGAATTTTAGAGCGTACCAACAAAGAGAAGGATATTCCTGCAGTAGCGACTGCAATGCGCATCATACTGATTACATAATAAAGTCAACGAGGGTGTTAACAATTGAAAGATAGAATTGACTGACATTTTGCAATCGAACTTGGGGTGAAATTGGGCGATAAGCAAGGACAAGATGGCGACAGGTGCGAGAAGTTGACTGAGGAATAGAGTGTATAGGAGGCTCTTCTTGCGAACTCTGCCTGACCATAAGAAAGCAGCTGATAGAGTTATATTCCTTGCGAATATGGTGAAGATGGATCCCATGATGACGAGAGCGAGGTAAGTAGCTGCAAGGTCGTCGAAGAATGGTGGTGCCAGGATGGAGCCATCTGCAAGTAAATGGTAAACGGACTGAGAAGATGAATTAGTAGATGGTAGACTTGAAGGATCTGGTATTGTGAATATTGTATGGGTTGGGGAAGGGCGACTGTCCATAGTACTTGAAATTGTACATGAGGAGAAGGACAATACCTCTAACTTTGGTATAGGACACGACTTCTCAAAAAGTGTAGATTGCGTTGATGACGGTCGTCCGCTCAAAATGCAAATATGACAGCATTTACACCCGATCATCGCACGTATACATAGTAACATCCTTACATAATTCAATCTTCACATTATGCCACAACGTTACCCTGTTATCATCATCACTGGAACTCCAGGTACTGGAAAATCAACCCATGCTCAACTCCTACAAGACGCTTCTCCAGTCCCTCTAAAACACATCAACGTCGGTCAACTAGTAAAAGACAATTCCTTTCATCACGGCTTTGATCAACAATGGCAATCTTATACTGTAGATGAAGACAAGGTCCGCGGACATTCAACATCATCCACTTCCCCATTCAAGTTCTCATTAGTTCGATTTAGCTCTTAGATGAACTCGAACCATTGGCATCAGCTGGTGGAATAATTCTCGACTGGCACACTTGTGAAATATTCCCTGAGCGATGGGCAGATCTAGTCGTCGTCCTCCGCTGCAATCATACCATGCTCTGGGAACGTCTCGAAAAACGGTGCGTATCCCTGACCACAACCAAAATCAACCCAGATCTGACCCCATAGCAGTAATTATCCTCTCAAAAAGATACAGGAAAACAACGAAGCGGAGATAATGGAAGTCGTCCTCCAAGAAGCCCGAGACTCCTACCCCCAACAGATTATCGTCGATCTCAAAAGCGAATCTTCTCAGGACCTCGAAAATAACGTCGCAAGCATCGTTGAATGGATAAATCAGTGGTTGAAAGATAACGGTCGCGAAGATGAAGACGAAGACAACACTCTTTGAGGCCATCGGTACCGCACGCCCTTTATAAATAAGATATACGTTATATGTAGAGACTAACCTTGCGTAGCCTTTATTCAAAGTCTATCTGACAGAATAACATAACTTAAATAAATCAAGGGCCTTACACATTAATGACGCGTGACGTCACCCAGACCTCATGTATACGTGAAGCAACGTACTGCGGTCTCTACGGAACTGTCAAGAAGAGAATGAAAGCACTCGCGAACACAGATACAAATGCAACTGGGCGCACAGGTTAATTCGGTCCGTGCATGAGGTTCTCCTAGGAGTTATGCATCATGTTTGATCTCTACACTGTATCATACATAATAAGACAAAATTCTCCCGTACCTATGGTATCACGCCTATTTGCAAAAGCGTATGTCCGAGGAAAGTGTTTGCGGGTGATACCCCTGGGATAGAGCGATAAATAGCTCCGAAAAGAAGCGATGGAACGGCTAGGACGCGTCCTATAGGCAGCATTCTAGATCCGATGAAGTTGGAGGACCGGGACGACAGATATGATATTGCTACATGCACTGGTGGACAGTCCAGGCAAAAATATCACATTCACATCCCGCAGCATCACAGCTGATTGTAGACAGGTAGACGATACCAGATTCATCTCAGTGACGGACACAAGCAAGTCACCAGGAGGACACTGCGGGCCCGCAGTCGAGTTCGATGATTCCGTGCGCAAACTGGATGTGGACAGCGAGCGGGAATGTATATCCCTATCCTTTGCCGTCGCGTTCGTCGTGAAATGTATGGTGTTGTACTGCGGCCCAAATTATCATCCATCTGCCATAGTTTTGCAGCACGCGGAAATCCTGATCACTGTGCTGGAACAGCTCCTGCTTCCTGAGCTCTCGATAAGTGTAGGGCACGCAACTCGCTTGATCAACACACCTTTCAGTATGAGTCACACATACCGAGGCCCTCATAAGGTCAGCGCTGTTCGTGCGCCGAATAAGGGCGCAAAAACCTATCGAATACGCTCCAGGTAGGGAAAAGTCAGAAGAGTGGGGAATGATCGCGTTAGCACAATAAATTGGAGGCCCATCTAAAGAATGCGCCTATGGATGTGTTGTACTACGTCTGAAACAATTCGGTGAAATGACCAGGTAGATGAAGTAAATAGTCAGTGGTGTGTCACTCGATGTTCTGAAGTGGAAGAGTGACGAGACGATCCAAAGCAATCTGAATTCTGCCTTTATTCTGAAGCTGAAAAGTAATGAGAGTAGAACTTGAATGCAAGGTAAATGCTGAGTCGTGGGAAAACCTTGTGGATCACTGCGGTCGCCATCATGATACTTACAGGTCAGACTTCCGACTCCCCTGGCATGATAGGTGACTAGGAATTAACCAGGTAGGTAAGGCTGAACAGAGAATCTCGATTTCGCTAATTATAAACATCTCCATGGCGCGTAGCAGGTCATGTCCAGCGATCTTGAGTTGCAAATTTCTACCCTTCGCAAGTCGCGATGGGTCAACCTCTCTGGACTCGTCGATTGTGCTACGAAACGTCTTTCGAAACCCACATGCCAATCAATCCAACTTCTTGGAAGGGGCAGCTACAATACCGTCTACAAACTGGTCTTCGGTGATGGCACCGAGATCGCGGCAAGCGTGTCAGTGCATGATGAGGAAGACTTTAATCCCCAGGCAAAGCTGTCTGAAATAGCCACCATGCAGTTTGTCCGCGCATCCGGCTCGTATCCAGGTATCCAAGTCCCACAAGTCCACGCTTGGGACGTCACATTTTCTAATCCAGCTGGTGCACCGTATGTTCTCATGGATGTCGTCCACGGACGAAAGCTGGACAATTTCACCAACGATGACAACAAGCTTCGCGGTCTGGATGGTATGTCAGAAGTGCAGCAACTAGCCGTCACCAAATCTCTGGCAAAGCTACAATCTACTTTGTCAGCACCTGTACCATTTGATAAGATCGGTAGCATTACCCTCGATGACGAAGGAAGCTTTATCATAGGACCACTCTTCACTATCACACAGCAGAATCTTGGGGGACCATATCAATCCCTCATGGATCTCTGGAGGGCCCGACTGGAGCATGACATCTTGCATGCTCTAAGGGAGTGGTCTAGGCTTGAGGCGGAGCAGCTTTCTCAATCCCTCTCAGAGCCCAAATGCACCCCTCAAATTTTTTCTGAACTATTACAGCTTCTCTCCTCGCTCATACCTCACTTCGTGCCTCCATCATCTTACCTCCCCTTGGTCTTACACCATCCCGACCTCGCACTTCGCAACATTTTTTTGATCCAATTGACGACACGAAGATTGTAGGGCTCATAGATTGGGGAGGCGCACAGATTCTCCCTCTTATACTCACTGCCAAGTTCCCAGATGACTTGAATTCGACCGGAGAGGATCCTTGCGAGAGACCGGGGATCCCCGATGAGGGTTGGAACACTGTCCCACATGACTGGACTTCGTTCGGTGACACTTCCAATTGGCCGGATGTCTTCCGGGGACCAAACGATCAAGTGGATCTGACCATCCGAGCGAGTGCCATGATCAAGCGGTACTACCTCCGCCAGCACTTTGGTGTATGTTTTGCGCAGGAGAACCATGATAGATATGGCGACTACAATCTTGGTCGCGCGATGTTGTTCGCGCATGCACCATATTATCTCAAGTTCCATGAGATTATCACGGGTGGCTGGACCTCTTTGGTCGATCATGCCGAGTGGATACATGAGACATATTGGCGATTAAATGCGGTAAAACAGGATGGTCGGAGCGCTGGATTAATTATAGGTCCAAACGTTTACCGCAGCTCCATGCAAAAGTCAGTGTTCGACTTGAACATCTTCGAGACACAGTCCTCCGAAGACGTCCAAGATGGGGAAGAAGAAGAGGACGTGGATGAATAATTATTGTAGACAGTACGTGGCAAAACTCTGTACAACACGCAAATACCATACACTTCAAACTGATCAATTCGGTCTTAGCATTCTTCGTATCACTTCACCATCCTTGTTCTAAGAATGTTAGCTGCGATATTTGCGCCAAAATTGGAGCACCTCACCTAGACCTTGATAGCTTTGATCATCTCGTCGATGATAGTCTTAGTAGTCTCATCCCAAGTAAGTGACTCGTATGTCACATACGCCTCTGTCCTCCCCTTCCGCGCGACGATTGTGATATACTTTGGAGGTTTTCCACTTGTAAGCATCGACTTCGTCTGGAACGTGATGTCCGTTTTGGACTGCGACTTTCCGTCACCATGCCAAGCAGTGTACTTCCCATTTCCATGCGTCTTTTCGACTTTCTCCGGGTCTATGTTCTCCAGATACTGTTTCACTTGCTTGAGATCGTTCTTGGATGCTTTTTCCTGTAGGTGTCTGCTAAGTAAAGGAGGCCGAGGAACGCATTGGTATAGGAAAACCTACGTTGACGTGGGCAGACATGATATTGGATGAGCACTTCTGATCTGTATCTCTGGTAACCTAAAGACATACTTATATAGGTCAAGTTGGGTGGCGCCGAGCGCTCATGGGACAGTGCCTTCCCTGCAGCATGAGCGGTCTCAAAGCTAAAATAGGTTTATACTATGTGCTATCATTCTGGCACAGACTATAGTGACATCAGAGTATATTTGCTCATCAAGGTAAAGGCATGGTATATCCCTGCCTTTGATCTCAGAAGGGAAAAGGATATATCATTGTGAGTTGCACATTTAATGAATGGGCTGTTGAGTCTCAGCTGGCTGGCAAGTCCTGTGTCAGGTATGTTTCCAGCTAGATAATGCGAGCTTCCGACCTTCGCACTGATGCGTAGTAAAGAAAAGCTTAAATCTACAAGGGGGTAGTGCCAGCAGTCATAGTGAAAGTGACTCAGCGGGGACCCGGCTTGCAAATTCGGGACCGTCAATTTGCTCGTGATTAGTCCTTCTTCGTCAGCAGATAGACTGGTCACGAGTCTAGATAGTTCTGGCGTTAGTGGTCCAAAAAAGCGGTATCATACAAACCAATTTCAATCGCCATAGTCTGGAAGGGGGCCGTACATAACGGCGTGATGAATTGAACGTGCTGTGATTTATAATGCACGTTCTGATAGCGGATCATGCAATACCCGTTAGTTCCCATGCCTGCAGAGGGACCTGGATGATGGTCTCAAGCGTTTACTTATGTTGATTATCAATGTAAGGGGAAAATGATTAGCATACATTGTCATACTACAATGGACGATTTTAAGTGAAGTCGTTATGTGTAACATTAAGCTACTAAGTAGTGTATCATTAGAACCGACTTTCAACTTCGGATACTCAAACACCATAGAAGAAACGCCAGTAACCTGGAAGTAGATGGGCGAGCGCATACCACAACTGGTATAGGTCCGTTGTCAGCTTCACTTTGGTGTGTTCCAAAGTAATATTTCGACTCACGCTATAAAATTTGCAGGACTGCTTATCGGCGCCCACCCTGTTGTACATCACGAATCGGGTCCCCACAAATGCGCCGTAAACTACAAATGCAGTGGTAGAGAGCGCATCTAGCTTCCAGATACAGCTCAAGCCATATGACCAGAGGGGGATACCAAACATCATTGAAAAGCGCGCGGCTTTAGGGAAGATGGTGGGCAGCGTCCGTCTACCAGTAAGACGATCGCCCTCTTCATCCTTGAAGTCTTGCGCATGAAGCGTTGTCGCAAAGACTGTCGAGCTAAGTGTAACCGCCAAAGCACCAGCCTTATCGATGCATGAGTTGTGGGGACCTGACCGCTTGATGAGCAAAATGATAGATTATCTGCAACTGGATATATTTACCGGCAGCAACAGTTGCTCCGACCTCCAGACACCCACCGAGGATGGCTGTGAGTACATTCTTCGACAATCCCATTTTATCGCCGTGAAGTTCGTTGTACCAGATTGTCAACGCTGCAAAAACGGTGCTGGCTAGCAGAGCCTGGGTGCCGTGCCACAACGATAGCAATAAGCAGACTGGAATCATCACCCAGCGCATATCAGCTGCGCTGTCAACAGAAATGCGACCAGCAGGTATCGGACGGGAGGGCTTGTTCTTGCGGTCCTCCTCCGGATCCTGGATCTGGTTTGCAATATTGAACTGTAATAAGTGGAACCATATCCACAAAGGAGCATGCCAAGCATGGGTGGTGTCATATCTGGGAGCCACAGATAATGCGAATATGGTCTGAGAGGTGTGATTTAACAAGGGGGCAAGACACATAATAGTTGATACATACGACAGGAATCAGAGTGGTTCTGACATCATTTTTTGTAAAAAGGAAGACCGTCTCGAGATGACGAGCGATACTATCAGCGCGAACAGTGAGAGCTTGAGAGAACATTGTGAGTTTTTGAATGCCCAGGTTGTGTGCCGGGTCCATACCTTTATACCTCGAATGTGCGCTTGAAAGAGACGCAAACTGTCGGCCAGTATGGCAAAAGTAATGCCGGGAGCACACAAAGAATTCGAAGGCTATATGGCGGGATTTCGAGACACCAACCCGGTTGTAATTCACTGGTCCCGAAGACGCCTGAGGCTATGAAATCGAAACTGCCCCACCCTCTGGTAGGAAGGATATGTGACCAGCTGACTTGAAAGAGTTCTGTGTAGAAGGCAAACCAGGCGCTGCGGCTATGCATTCGTGACAGCTGACTAGCGCTGACTGTCGGAGTACCCCTGAACCGTCATAGCCGTTGACCGCCCAGAGTCGACAGAAACCATCTTTACGTACCACTGGTAGATAAGTGAAAGAATCTTGGAGCGCTCGCTGCCGAGTAGCGTTTGACCCGATGCTATCTTCAATGGTCAGCATCATATTGTATGACTAATACACTCACTACGCCCGGCCATACTCCGCAGAGCTCGAACGACCACAGCAAATATCGGTTGAGCAAACACTCAAGAAATCACAGTGAACGATTCCCATGATGGTCATTAATAACGGAATGGCATTTGGCTTGGATTGCCTCTACTATAGGCGTGTGTTTACCACGACCTAATTGTGAACTTACAGTTGGGATGGCGCTGGCTCGGCGACTTCGTGGCGTGATACCAATTCAAATATCGAGCGTCGACAAAGATCAGCGGCATAACTGCATTGTACTATGTAATTAATGAAAGCTGGATGACTTATGAGAGGATACGTACCATAGAATACTTTTGTCCGTGAGGAAATAATCCACCATAGGTTGTCGTCCGAGGTTTCCTATGGCTAGCACACAGTCAAAGTGACCTTGTATTAGAGTCTTGGTGATCTAGCACGCAGTCAAAGTGGCCTTGACAAACTTGTATTAGAGTCTTGGTGATCAACCTGTCTACGAAGCGATATACGCAATCACAACGAGTTGATCTCCGGCCGAGTCAATTGAAATATGATGCAACGAAGAGCCACGAGGATCACAAGAATTCGCCGTGACTGGAAGCTTGGAAAACAACTGCGGTCCAATCCCTAAGCTCCCTGATGAAATTTGCTGCTAAAATCTTCAGATTCATATCAGCATAGACTGCAATCACGTATAACTCGGACCGGCCAATGTACGAGTTATGCAGTGCCGACCCGAAAACAAGTTTAACTCCAGCAACCCGGGCCAGTGTGGCTGCCAACATGACCCCGCCTGAATATCCCGTCCCTCATCCTTTGGGTCGTGATTTTGTGATATCCTAGTCTATGGTATTCCTCGTCTGATATCTACGAGATCCTCGTTGAACGTTAATAATGGAAGGAGAAACTCGTACCTAGATGGGGTTGGGGCATGATGCACAACCAACTTCCTCCCACCCCATCTAGGTAAAGCTGCAGATTTCGACGGTGTAATACTAAGTCTTCCACGAGTCATGTAGCGGGAACTTAGCAACAAAAGAATAGAGTGGATGAACCTGGTTGGGGCCGGCCCGGCTGGGGTATAGATAGCTTCTGCACAGACTAGGTAGCGCTACCCATTTCAATAGTGTAAGTCTGCCACCGTGAGTCGTGTCACAATAGCGAGAACTTGGCGAGTTCGGGAGGGAAAAGGGTACTAGATCGAGAGTGAAGAGCTAGTGAGTGGGGTCAATTCACTGCGGAAATGAAAGGTACAGACCGGTTTTTATATGTAGAGGGTTAAGTCATACTGAAGTAGAAAGGGAGTGGCTCAATGCCGCAGCCACGATACCATGACAAAGGGGAGTCCATCGTCAGAGGAGTATTAATGGCACTCGGGCCTTACAAAGGTCCTGAGCAAAAACAAAGCACCAAGAAAGTGACAAGTAACTCCAAAAAGAGATGAAGAAACGATGGAACGGCTAGGACACGTACCATGGGCGGTAGTCTGAATCTTTGGAGGACTCTGGGGACGACAAATGTGAATTTGTTGCATGGATGAGTTTTGAACAAAACCGACAGCAGCATTGTCGGATTTTCTGCCTTGTGATATCGCGGCCGAATGCAGACAGGTAGTAGACGATAACAGATCTATCTCAGACATGAATGTAGTGTAACAAGTATAAGTAAGTGACCAAACCGTGGTCGAATAACAAACAACAACGTTGTGCAGACCCCAAGCTCATGAGGAAACCCATTCACAAACAAGGCGCATCATTAATCGTCGACTTGACGCATGGCGGCTGATAACGCAGCCAAGGAAGCTGACCCCCAGACCAACTCATCAACTGTGAAGAGACCATTGTACGAGGGAAGCACGCAGTACAAGAGCTGGAGATACTCCCCAGAACAACTGGAGCAAATTCGCACTTCCCTCAATGTGGCTGCAGTATCGGTCATACGGAACACTTTCGAGGCAGATGAGGTGCGAAACCCACTTTCCGTCGTTTCAGTGCCTGTCGAATTAACTTATCTGTTATAGCCTGGATCGTCCGAGGACGTGTTGTTCCTTAATGCAAATGAAGAGCAGCTCCTCGTAAAGCTCTACATCACCAAGATCCCTCAACTATGTGGGCATTTTCGTTTTCCTGAGGAAGTGGAGGCGACCGCCATCAGTTACTTGAAGCGGTTCTATCTTAAAAACACTGTGATGGACTGGCATCCAAAGAATGTGATGTGCGTTCGTGTGTTACACTGATATCCCTAATAACTCTGTGCTCTTTGAAGGCTCACCACACTATTTCTTGCTACGAAAACCACCAACAACCCAATTTCGTTGGAATCTTACACCTCTAACATCCCGAAAACATCCAGCTCAGACGTTCTTGATCTCGAGTTCCTGGTGTCTCAGAGCCTGAATTTTGAGTTTGCAGTTTGGCATGCCCATCGCGCTCTCTGGGGCATTTGGCTCGATCTTCAGGTAACCGCGATGTCTGTGACATCATTTCCACGCTGAGACTCACGCAATTACAGAGCCTGCCCGACGTATCCGAGGACCTTCGACCACAGGATGTCTATGATATTGCCATCAAACACGTCCGGGCCTCCCGCTTTACCGATGCAGAACTCATCTACACGCCCTCACAAATCGCTCTCGCTAGCCTGGCTCTCGCCTCGCCAGTTCTCGCAGAAAGATGGGCCGACTCGAAAGCGGTAGCTGGTGCTGCACAACCTTTTTCCGCAACCCTGGACCCTACTCTCGGATCGATCAAATATATCATCACGCAAATGGGACATCCTCCTGATGTGGAAGCCGTCCGCGAGGTTGATAGGAGGTTGAAGCTATGCAAGAATCCAGAGAAGGTCCCTGGTAGCAAGGCCTATCTTGCACGGCAAGTAGCTGAACAACAACGAGCAGAAGAGAAACGCAATAAAAAAGCTGAAGACGTTAGGAGAGCCGTCACTGAGGGTGGCGATCCATTCGGGAGCGAGCTTAATGAAGATGAAAAAGCAAAACAGTTGGCTGAGCTCGACGAGGACGATGATTAGGACAGAGCTGCTCAATGACTATATGATCTTTATATTATAATTGTGACCCTCAAGTAAATTAATACAAGCGTCATCTCAGATATCAAATGAATCGGAGAATGCAGAGAGGGATGTAACAATCACTTTTGGCTACACATTGACCCCCTCAGATCATGACCTCGGAAGGCTAACTGGGAGGCTTCGAAAGAGCCGGTACCAATATGTGGGGGACAGCTGTATTTCCCTGTGCTGTTGTCAGATTTGTAATTATGACATGGAGACAAACGAAGACCTACAATTTATGAAGGAAACTGACTGAACAAAAACCGTGAATAAATGTTTCCATCACATCCGCGGTTATCAATCATACAGGGATCGCAAACCGGCGATAAAGGTTATCGCAAACGAAAGCGAAAATGGCTCGGACTCAACAAAAGCTGGGTGCGGTCCGACCGTATCACAGGTTTGCGCTGGATATCTTGGTGAATACACGGGTATCTTCTTGCATGTAAAGCTACAGATAGAGCAACTACCGTTCAAAAACCTAGAAAGTATTGAGACCATGAAAAAAATTAAAACAAGTAAATACATACAACATTCGCAATCAAACGGACACAACGGTGTGTCTGGAGTCGGGTGAATGTTGAATGTTGATGGAAGTAGGTGCACAACATACCTCCTCCGACATTAGATATACCTAGTTCATCTTCCTTGTATATGTTTAAACCATCGTCAGTTTTTCGTCCTGGCGCAGGGTTAACGAGTATAAAGTAGCAGGACGAAAGGAAACTTACTAGGTCCAGAACCCCTCGAATCCTTGAAACGGTCTTCGTCATCTTTGCGCGTCTCGTGATAAACCTTTTCACGCTGTGAAGAAACTGGGGCATCCAACTTTGGACGTTTACTACTGCTGGAAGATTTGAATGATGGATCTACAACGGTCTCGGGAAGCTGCCGTTTTTTCAGTATTTTTGGTTCTGAAGATTGACTGATCTCCTTCGTTTCATCGCTAGTGGTGGGTCTGTCTTTTCTTTTTTTCTTTTTCTCCTTCTTGACGGATGGAAGAGGAGCAAGCTCTATGGCTTTCTTTCCTTTGGCAGCAAAAATGTCGTCTATTTCTGATGTAGGCATGGAGGAGGATCAAGGCTGAGAATGAAAAATTTTGAGCCTATAAAATTATTGTGACTTGTCACATACGTCACGGATCATGATTATGCGAATGCCTCCGAGTTGATCAACATGTTCCGTTTTCTGGTACATAGATGCGGCCGATGATCATGATGCGACCATGAGCGAGAGCGTTAGGTAGTTGAAGGATTAAAAATTAAATTAAATGGGTGAGCTATATGAGAGATTTCTGTACTGCAGTCACACCTGACTAATATTAACCGTGTTGACTTGAATTTCCTGATTTGTTGAATTCTGCTTTCCTTGCCCGGTTCGACCGCCAACAAGTATTACTATTAGTTCAAGCAGGTGAAAGTACTTCCGTCTAACTCCTGAGCTATGTTGTAAGCTTTCCATTTCCATTTTCCCGTTCTAAATCATCATTCTTCCTAACAGGCCCCAGTCTGCACAACAAATCAGACCTCAGCAGACCCACCAATCTCAGCAACAAGGAAATGTCCCGTTCATCCCCCAGAATTCGCCTCAAAACTTCGAGACAAACCAGTACTTTACTAGTACCCTTGATCTCAATGCCGCTGCAAAGCAAATGGCAGCCATGAACGCTGCAGGAGTCCAAAGACAAATGGCAAATGTCAACGGCCGCTCGCCTGCGTCTGTTGGCGGAGTATCTCCGGGATCATATCTCGGTGGAATGACATCCTCTTATAATCAACCAGGCGGCTTTACTGGGCCACCTCACGATAATACGAATTCGATGCAATTCAATCCCACAGCCTCCTCAGGTCAATTAAATACCCAAGGTATTTACCCTGCCCAACAGACCACCAACGTCCCCCCAAATCCTTCTCTAAACGCACCCATGTCTCATCCAAACTTCACTCCATCCGAAGCTGTCAAGCACCGACAGCGAACTTTCCTAGCAGGATTGGCCAGCGCCCATGCTACCCGCGTTCCCTTACCGCCAGCTTTAACTGGAAACCCATACCCACCCAATTATGACCCTACAAATTCGCAATGGAAGTCTTTGGACTGCCCACCAGGTCAACCGGGTGTTATCCGCTTGGGCGGAAAGGACATTGATCTCCTGAGGTTATGGCAAATTGTAACTCAATTGGGAGGATGGCAAAAAGTTTGTTGATTCATACTGTATCAGTTTCGAATGCTGAAACATGACAACGTAGATCACACAACAACAAAATGGCTGGGCACAAGTCGCTCACCAGTTCGACCTGCCAGAGTTCCTTCCTCATCTATCGAATTCCGGGCAGCAGCGCCCCGTTGGTCAAATTCTAGGACATTTATACGCTGCCATCTTACAGCCATTTGACGAGTTTTATCGTCGTAATATGCAGGAGGGCAACCGTAGGGCAATGGCGGCTGGACGCCAGCCAGGCGTTAATGCTGGACCTCCCAACGTGAATGCAGGGCCTGGTGCACCTCATGTAGGATTGCAACAAGGAGCAGCTGCCCCGAACGCGGTCGGCAGCATGATGGCGCAACACGCGGTTAACAATCAAAATTCCACTATCAGTCCTGCCTCTCAGTCACAGCCATTACCACAAAGTCCTCATTTACGCCAATCTTCTGCACCCAATTTTCAATCACCCACTGTTCCCTCAGACCCCGCACCTCAGGCGTCATCCCAACTCAACGCTTCAATTTCTGCGCCCCAGCTTACGAAACCAACACCGGATACATCTGAACCAGAAGCTCAAGGGGCGAAAAGAAGACTAGAGTCCGAAGAGGCAGAAGGAAAACGAGCAAGGCAAAAGACAGGTATTTCTTACAGATATCATCTTGGTTACCCAGTGAATCTCATCTAAGCTGCTACAGATCCGCCAGATACCGTGAGTGATGACTGGTGAATCTTTATGCCCTCGAATTGATTTTTTCCCAGACCGAGACCACTAATACCACGACACCACATGGATCTGCTCCCCCCTCGCGTACGCAATTTACGAGGACAAAAGTCGAGTACATTCCCCTGTCACGTGAAATTGATTTCACTGGTGGCCGTGATTTCAACGCGCTGGAAGAGGATTATCTTCGATCTCAGCGGCGGCCCATGCGTGATATCAATGAGTGGGGCACAGTTGACATTGAATCCCTTACAATGTCCATCCGATCACGACTGAATGCCGAGCTTTCCTATGCTCTAACCACAATCACGTTGTTATCTACGATGCGGGGTCCAACCCCTGGGTCTGGATTTCCCATTTCACAATGCACAGATTTGCTCGAGGAGGTGCTAGATCTACTTGAGGAGGAAGCATTTGGGACCACCCCCGACATCACAGATTATCGGCTTGGCAATGGTGCCGAGATGGTGCGACATCGGGCGCTCGTAGATGATGTTTTCGAGAAGGAATCTATGCTCTTTGCAGGGCTAGAAATCCGTGATCCTCAATATGAGACACGTGGTCCAGGCCACCGCGCAGGGAATATTGTGCTCACAGTGACTAACCTCATACGAAACCTTTCTGTCACCCCGGACAATATGCTTTGTCTGTCGAGACACGAACGCACACTCAATCTTGTGCTACGTGTTTGTGGTATTACCATGTCATCAGACGGAACACCCAAACCAGCTTCACCGGCACTTGCTCTCTCAGACGTGATCAATGTTCGAAAAGACGCACTCCATATTTTTGGTAATCTGTCGAATTACATCGTGTTCTCGAATCCTAACTCTCCATCGAACGCAACAACTCTCACTGCGAGCCGCATCCTTGAAATCATTGCGTCTATCCTCATAGAGCCCTTCGACTCAGTTCCCCCCACACAATTCCTCAAACAAAGTGGGGTTCCTTTCTCGCATAGTAGGCCATCATCTATTGCCGACCTTGCCCTCGACGTTTTCACCCGTCTCGGTCAGCTGGACTCTAATCGGCAGGTGTTCTCTAGGGTTATGACCCAATCTCTCATCTGGCGACTATTGGAGTCCCTCGTTCATCGTCTACCAGTATCAGACCTCGACTTTGCTTTCCTCAACCGGGACCCATGGCTATCTTACTTGGAAAAATCAATTATGGCAATTTATACGATCGCATTCTTTTCTCCCCCGGAACTAAAGAAGAAGATCAAAACAGATCGCCCTCTGTGTTTCTCACAGGTTATGATTCGTATAGTGCAACGATTTGTATCAATGGGTGGGAGCCCAGAGGTGCGCCAGTGGCACCTTGCCGTTGCACGAAGAGCGGTAGAAGCCATGAAAGTGGTAGATGAAGAGGATGATGCTTTTGACACCTCGCAGTCCACTCAAACCCCACTGGCATTTGGCATGGGCTTTATCGATGGTAATGATCCCGGTATTGAAAAGGGTATAGGGTTGCTTGCTAGCCGTCGGGACGCTGCTTGGGAATTGTTGATGCGAGATCTGGATCCTGTGATGTTTTCAGAGCTGGAGAGTTTGATGAGAGTTGAATGTTAGCCTGTTGCTCGGCTTGCGGTACGATACTGTTGGTTATAACGTGTTGTATACTAACCCCTAGTGCTCTGCACATTTTGCTGTCGATACTATGTAATTCTGGATATCCATGTCAACTGTCGAATTTGTTGTCCTCCCAGACATTTGATCTGTAGAATTATTATTTTTTGACTTTCTGACTTATCTTATCTCGTCCGGGCTGTGCAATCTTTTACAAGCAGGCTAGGTTAGGCTCTAGCCGCTAGCAGCTTGACGGAATCTCACATCGTATACCATCACGCTAGATCCAAGAAGAATAGAGGGTAATTGGCTTCACGTTACATGACGTCCTACACGGCGCCTCCGCCAAATTACTCTCCAGAATGCCCACAGAATCTACTTCGGGCGCTGGATGAGCCGATCTCTGGCCTTCAGATTTTCATCATCCCAGCAACAGACACGTTGACCTTCCAAAAGGGCTATCTAGGAGCTGAAGGAGAGCGCGCTGCTATCGAGGGAGAAATTCATGTCAAGGGTGCACAGCCAGGCCAATGGAAACATGTGTTAGTGTGACTGCTCCTCATCTATTCCGAGTAACTCACCGTGGCAGAACAGCACCGTGGCTCTTTGTGTCGTCGAGTCTGCGTTTGGCCAGGAAATCGAGCTGGGGAAATCAGAGATAAACCTAGTCTCGTTCACGGGGACGTCCGACTCCATGTCATCCTCAACGTCATTCGCAATACCCCTGACATCTGATGCACCTCAGTGTATTCATACACCTCATTCATCTCTGGAATATGCACTTACGGCAACTTTCCATCCTACGAATACGTCGGAGCCACTTGTGTCAAGAAGGATTGTCGTGCATACGCGACGTTACACTTCGCATTCTCATACTGTAGATACGTTGCCCGAAACCCACGTCCTGGAAAGTCCCTCCCGTGTCGAAGTCCAAGTTCCTCGCACTATATTCCGGGCCGGTGAATTAATCCCAGTCTATGTCACCGTGCCTCCGCCGAGCAGGGAGCTTATGCTGCGCGAAGGACTCAGACTCCGAAACGTAAAAACCGAGATCGTTCGCATCGTGAGCCTGAAAGAGCAAGGTGATGGTGGTGATTCTGAACCTGGTATGCCTTATGGTCAATCCATAGTGGACTTGTCATCTCAGGATGGGCCTTCATCGGTGGTACCCACTCCCCCTGCGGAGAAGCCTCCGATCACTTCTCCTGGATCGGCCTATAGTACAGTAACTTCTCGCTCAGGTGCATCCTGCAGATTTCACTCCTCTCGACCTGTGCGACTCCGCCTCATCTTGCATCAGGCTTCACCATCTGCGTCACCAGTAGATTATCAGACCAGTTTGCCAGAGGGTGACTACAGCAGCCTTGACAACGATCTGCAATGCATCTCCATCACTCAATCCACCCTTCTACATTCAGTCTCTTTCCTTCTAAACGTTCACGTTTCATTCGTGGAAACAACCAGCAGGACCGAACGGCTCATGACTATCCCCATCCCATTAACCATCATTCCGCCCCCGGCGCCACTACCTGAAGTTGAAGAATGGGTTGATGCCGCATATCAGAAAAAACACGACCGCCCCCCTTTGAGGACAGTCCGTCAAGAAGATCCAGAGTCACCAATTCCCTTGTATCAGGAAGGAGAAGCGGGTCCAAGTTATACTCAGAACGGTGCCCCTCCCCCTTTTGAAGACCGCGACTTGCCGCCTCCACCATTCTTCCATTCTATGCCTTCTACGTCCAATGCTCCACCAAGCTTCCAGGAATCCGAGTCGGAAATATTTATTCCTTCAGACACAACGGACCAAGAGGTACCTGTAACCACAGCACTCCGTATCATCGGCGAGGGAATATTGTTTGGGTTTGCTGCATCGGAGCAGTTTGATGGTCATTCGGACACAATGCACCGCTCGTCAACTCCACCCCCTTCAGTGGAGATGGCAGAGCGAGATGCAGATGTGACGGGATTTGCTAATATCGGAGTTGAACCCGTCCGAGTCTTTGAGGCTCTGAATATCGTTTCAGATGATTGCCCCCCACGCTCTGGAGGTGAACTCCCTCCTCCTCCGCCTGCGATGGATGATCCGTCAGACCCACCTCCTTCAATAGATTCCGATTTCAGGTCGCCCTCGGTCCGGGTCCCCGTGCAATCTCACTCACCCCCTCTCACCCATCAGTCATACAATCAAACTCCCCCGACTCGTGATTCTTTACACCCTCCCAATGACATCTTGGATCATTCTTCCTCACATGGACATGCGCCACCGCCTTATCTTGTTCCTGGCAGTGACCCTGACCACGAGGAACACGTGACACGACCACCTCCGTACATGGATTTAGTTCCCTCTTCATCGTATTTGAACAGCTCAATTCACTAAAGGGACTTTGTTACCATTCCAATCTGTGCATCTCTTAGAACTTACTGTTACCTCAAATGTGCTGTGCTGCAACTGTATTTATAAGTTACCATCGAACCGTACCAAGTCCAATGTTTGTGTTGCAGATGAATTATAAAAGCAGATTACATATGAAGGCAAAGGCAACGATAGCCACGTAAATGGCAAAGAGAGGGGAATAAAAGGTGTGCTAATAAGTAGAAGCGAGACGGTCGCGAAGGTTGAAGATGTGGAGTCCAAATAATTAGCGACACACTCAACAGTTGCATCCGTCTTTCTTGGACTGTTGCTCCTCGAGGTTCACATCCTCTCTAGCCCCACCAGTTCGTCCGCCTGCACCACCGGATCGACCTGCACCACCTCGTGTGGAAGCCAGAATGTGCTCGATCGGTATTTTCTTCGCTGAATTTGATTTTAAAAAGGAGTTCCATGTCGAGTGTAATGGGCGTACCTATTTCTGTAAATATCTCGACGACACCCTCACCAGTCTTGGCACTGGTTTCAAAGAACAGCAAGCCAGCCTCGGTAGCGTAAGCCTGAGCCTCCTCACGTGGCACCTGTCGCAAACTCTCTGGCTCGTCACCACTAGCACTAGGACTCTCCCCAGGCGTGGCTGTAGCATCATCCGCCTCATCTTCAGACTCGGATGATGGAGTGGACCCAGATGAGACCGCGGATGTTTGTACGAGATCAACTTTGTTGCCAGCCAGTGCGATAACGATGTTGGGATTTGCCTGTCTTTGAAGTTCCTTCACCCACGACTTCGCCTTCTCTAAACTCGTTGCTTTCGTCACATCGTAAACAACCACCGCGGCTTGAGCATTACGATAATACATGGGCTACATTCACGAATCAGAGCAGGTGGTAAAGCTGTGCTCAGAACCTACAGCGAGAGAGTGGAAACGTTCCTGGCCAGCAGTGTCCCAAATCTCATAACGTAGGACGCGGTCTTCGAGACGGCATTTCTGAGTCAAGAATGCTGCACCGATGGTGGGCTCCTTGTTTGCTTGAAATTCGTTCGAGACCTAGAAAGCGGTTCAGAGGTGGCAAATGTACGAAAATATAGACCTACAAAACGGAGGACTACCGAAGATTTGCCAACAGCGGCCTCACCTATGGATATGTGTCAGTTCTCGTTCGTTGGTAAGGGAGGGCGAGGGCGGAAATATAAGTCTTGAGCCAGTTTGATAGCAAGTGCGAATAGTGTCGATGGTACTTTTAGTGATAGGCTGAGAAGGCTTACCGAGAAGAACCAGTTTGACCTGGACAGACCTGTCCACGGAGCCAGAAGCAGCATCAGCCATTATTATCGTGTCGAGGTTGTAAAGAAATATAGACACTGCAACTTGAAGGAAGGAAGGAGGCGGCAACAACTCAGTACTGCAGCCTGCTGCGTTTTCCGACTTTGTTTACGTCTGTATGCAGATCTCACACTGGGTCAGCCCCAACATCTACAGTAGTTGGATGATTTCTTGGAGTACTTTGTCTAGCGTCGAGATTCATTGCTACTACTAGGGCGTACAAAAGGCCAGCTGCGCACATCCCACATTGATATCGATTTCTCCATCCTGCTTGAAAACGCCAGGTCAAGCATACAGCATCGCATTCAACGCAGGAGCGTGTTGGTCTAGTCCCACCTGCAACTGGCCGATTGTTGCTCTTCGAAGCTGCAGCAGGCGAATGCTTGTTTGATCGAAATACCAAGGATGAGTTGATTCAGTAATCTTATCCTTCCTTTGCAAAAATTTACCGTCGGGGTCATGCTGCAAGATGGGAATATGTCTCTCTGTCAGTATTGTTGCACTGCCCTCAAGTATGGTTTACTGCGGGGGGTCTGGATTGAAAGTAGGCTGTTACGTGGCTACTCTCTCAGGCTATCCTTGGCTATCTGACCTGAGCCTAACCACGAGGTTGCGATATCGAAATTAATGGTCAATTGACAACGTGACGAACAGTCGTACCTATACACTCATCCTTCCAATACCAGATTTGAAATTCGGAATCATAGAACGCATCGCGTTGTGAAGGATATCAGTCTTAGTATTGTAATGAGTGAAGCTTGAATTTGGCAAGTGAGGGTATATATCGCGTGAACGACTCCACTCCGCGGGCTGAAATTAGTACTGGTTCGAGTAGCCATGCCGGCAGGCAGTTGGGTTGTTCCGGCACTCTCAGGCTTATACGAGCTTGGTTGAATATAAATAGTCAAGGACTCAAACCTTGAAGCACTCCGAGTCAGTAATACTGACAAACCTGTTCAGAACAGTTCTATGTACCTCGCCGGCGCACTTGGTGAGTCCGAACGAGCATCGGGACAGTTCACATACTAGACATGGATACAGATTTTCAACCAACCAGGGAGAGCATACCCCCTCCGAATGTGAGCTACCAGCAATCAGTGCTCGGTCTTGTCCCCAACCTACATCCTCTTGTAAGCAATATCTCAACAATATCTACTGTCTCTTTACTCACCAGAATTCCCACAAGAACCCCTTCTCCTTCATTCTTCGTGCCGCAACGTTATACCCGGACAAACTTGCCCTTGCTCATCCGGATGTGAAACATCCTGCGTTCTATACCTATGCCGTTTGGTGGGGCCCCTGTCCTTCGTCGAGAACTAGTCTGACAGTGGCAATAGGGCTCAGCGCATCCAGAACATGGCGTATGCTCTTATACAAGCAGGCATCCGTCCAGGTGACCGCGTCGCAGTTATAGCGCCCAACTGGTGAGTTCTACTGTATCACGCGCTGACACGTCTCACACAAAAGTACGATAGCCCCTTGATTGCAGGTATAACCCCCATTTTGTTGCATTCGACAATAATGAAACACTCTGGGCAGATGCTCACTTTGGCGTTCTTGCCGCTCGTGCTATCGTCACACCTGTGAACACTCGCCTCACACCCCCTGAGGTCTCGTACATTCTGGAACATAGTGGATCCAAACTTATCCTCGTTGATCACGACTTCACGCATCTCATTGAGAACACTAACGTTCCTATCATTGTTTGTCATGACACAGGAAAAGCAGGTGACCCATACGAAAGCTTCCTTAGTGCAGGCAGAGTATTCAGTGCAGAAAAGGGGTGGGCTGGCTTAGACATTGAGCCGAACGAGAACACTGGTGCAGTTTTATGCTACACGTGAGTTACCATTCTGTATGCAGTTTGACCAAGAAGTGAACACGCTTTTACAAGGTCGGGAACTACAGGTCGTGTAAGATTCGCTTGTGTCTGTAGGTAAAAGCAATTGCTCATTTCGCATAGCCAAAGGGCGTCATTACCACACTGCGCGGTACGGTCTGTCAACTTACTCCACTTTGTTTGGCTGATGCTGTTGTCCATCCAGGCTCGTACTTGGCAGCAATAGCGAACGTTATCGAGGGACAGTGCGCGCCTCTATCTTGCTGTGTCCTTCTGATAGGCTTACCAGTCGGATTTGCAGGATAAATCGCGAGTCGACGTACTTGTGGTAAGCTTTATGTGATGGCACGAACAGTCGAGAATACAACGGACTACAGGATTCTTCCAATGTTCCATGCAGCTGGTTGGACGTTTCCATGGGCAAATGTCTTCGCATGCACGACACAGGTGTGCAGAACATGACGTCATGCTTATAACCACGAACTATCTTCTTGTTCCAGATAACCCTGCGTTCCGTCGACTACCCACTTATCTGGAAGCACTTCCTGAATTCCGAAGTAACCCACTATTGTGGTGCACCCACTGTCCAGGTTTGTGCGTCGTACAGGGACACGGATTGGTCTGATGTGCCGATAGATCGGAATTGTGAACGACCCCGCTGCTAGACCTCTCCCTCGTACTATATCAGCGATTATTGCAGGGGCCGCACCCACTGCTCAACTCATCAGCCAGCTCGAGCAGAAGGGAATCAAGCCTGTGCATGTATACGGCTTGACGTAAGTCCAATGTAGCCTTTAATTTGTGCCTAAGCTGATTCGTTCTTCCGTCCTCACCAGTGAGGTATGTGCTTCGGTGTTGATTAAGAAAGTGGCAAGCCTGAACATGCTTTCAAAGACGTACGGGCCCTTGACGCGCTGCTATGACCACCCTCACTGGAAGACGCTGCCTTTGGAACAACGCGCGAAGCTGATGGCTCGACAAGGTCAAAGCTTCGCCACCGCGCAAGATGTACGCGTAGTATATCTTCCACAGGACGAAAACGACGAAGAACTCCGTGACGTTCCAAAAGACGGACGCACGGTAGGTGAGGTTCTCATGCGTGGAAACATAGTCATGAAGGAGGTGCGTTTTTCAGCGGTTGCGCTAAAGTTCTCGCATGCATTCTAAGCATTTGTTGCGTAGTATTTCCGTGACCCAGAAGCCACGCGCAAGGCTCTTCGGGGAGGTCACTTCCATTCAGGTGATCTAGCCGTCTGGCATCCCGATGGTGTCATACAGGTCGTTGACCGAAGTAAAGACCTGATTATTTCCGGAGGCGAGGTGAATATGTGTCCTCGCGGTGATTCAAACTGCTGACTTGAAGACCGCAGAATGCATCGAGCTTGGCCATAGAACTAGGTATTTTTGCGTTTGAATAGTTACTAAGTTGTGGATCCTGAACGAGCTACGCAGAGCTTTCGAGTCACCCGCATGTTTTAGAGGTATCTGTCGTCGCCCGCTCGCACCCCAAGTGGGGTGAACGTCCAATGGCTTTCGTAATTCTTCGTCCGGAGCACGCCCCCAAGTGGAAGGACAACCATGACAGCTTTGGTACTGAGCTGATCCGTCACGCTCGAACGCTTTTACCCGGTTTTGCGTGCCCAGAATGGGTGCAAATAGTGGACGAATTACCTGTCAGTCATGCATAACATCCATCCACATCCCGCTAGACGCTTACAATACTTACAGAAAACATCCACTGGGAAGATCCTCAAGACCAACCTTCGCAAAGTCGTTGCTAAACTGTGATCTTAATGATCTAATGCTAATATATTGCTGAAATGTATCGGTACATACTTATGCTCGATTTGCCAAATAAAAGGATATGAGTGAGTGATAAAACAACAGCTGAATGGAAATGTTGCAAGAAGATCTAGGCATAATAAGTTGACAATGATTACGACAAATCGGGACTTAGTCGCAGTATCCGGAATGCACCAGCATTACGTTCACATAGGAAAACCTCGTCTCCCTGACGCCCAAGAAAGAGCACCTCGTCTGTGCTCTCGGTGTCCCCATCTCCCATGCTATTGAACTCCGCTCTTGCAGGAGATTTCCCCGTAGTGTGATTTGGCTTCTTCCCAAGGTAGCCTGACCCTTTTGTCTTTGACGACAGGGCCATGGCATTTGATGTGGAGGAACCGACAGGAGTGCCCATCTTCCAAACGAACGGTCCACGTCTATTGATATTCGATGGCGGCGGTGCGAATTGGGGTAACAGGGTACGCGACTCATCCGCGGGTTTGAGTAACGCGTCACCAAAATCCACCGCTTCCACGCCCCCTTGGCGCATAGCCACGAGGACAGAGCGGTCTTTGACGTCAAAAGCCTCTACACGCTTAACATCTCCCATGCGGGGAATCGACTCGTCATCGTTGTCCGTGCTCCAGATAAAGCGGCCTTTGAGAACAGCCCGACCACGAGCATCGACTATGGACGTACTGTGGCCGCCACGTGAAGAGAAGAACAGTGCAGGCGGGCCGAAATGTCGAGGCTGGACGAGAAGAGATATTGGGGCTAAGAGAGGTTTGGCAGCATCCAACGCAGGAGGAGCGTGCTGGGCTGCCGATGGTGGTGTTGCTGACCGGAACGGATGGGAAGGATCAACGCACTGCTGCCTCAGATCCTTGAGTAACATGAACACTTTCTCCTCCTCTTTGCGAACTGGTAGATCTGGTGGAAGCAAACCATCCTTATACCACGCTTGCATAAGGCTGGCTTTCCAGGGCCCTGATCCTGATTAAGGACGTGTTTCAAAAAAGTAACGTTTCGACATACCGTGCACAACTCCTTTCGGATCGCGGTAAAGCCATCTAGAAGGCGGTGCTGCTGCTGGCATGGGTAGGCCAGGAGGTGAAAATTGTATAGACGCTAGGTCAACATTGGCATTACCTTGAGCATCGGGTTCATGCTCGGCACGGTAGTCAAGGAACTCGGGATATGTTGGTGGAATGATATAGTCATCAGCGATAGTAGCCAAAGGCAACTTTGGCGCATAGGACAACTGTTGGAAGGTGGTATATGGGCCAAGAGGAGCGGAGGCTAGTGCTACAAGCTCTTCAGCATGTGCAAGAGCAGATCCAGGGGCACCACCAGTTGGTGTCTGCGATTGAGATACTGGCGCGTCTGGGAGATTAGTATTAGAATTATTTCTAGACGGATCGCCGGATGGTAATGAAAGTCGATTGCTGATACTGATGTTGGTATCCTCGTCATCTTGTGGAGGTGGGTCTGTGTCAAAGACGTCTGGCTGACCCGAGCGTATTTCTCGAACTCTTCGCCGAGCTGCACGTCGCTCGGCTCGACCAATTCGGACCTCGCGAACTCGTACTGTGGCAGGTTCCAAGCCAAAGACGTTCTGAGAAAAGACAAGAAATACTTCGACAAGGTCATCACCCTGCAGCTGGAGTTCCAAAGAACGCGGAGAATCGGGAAGGATGAAGGTACGTGAAAGACCCAGGGCAGTTCGATACGTCCCGGCAAAAAGCTCAACCTTTTCGCCATTATCTCCGCAGAGAATAGCGAGAAAGCTGCACAAGGTCTCAATAGATATACTTGTGAAACTCTGGATACTCACCTCTTTTTTGGCGTCTCCACGGCCTTGATGATAAGGGAGCCTTTCGTACCCGGTAGCTTGACGTAGTCTAGCTTTGGAGGAGGTAGTGATGTTGTAAGTGTCTGTGATCCATTCTTCCTTTCAGGCTCTGTAAATACCAGCGCTGGAGGCCGCTCGGTAGACCTCCTGGAACTGAATGCATTGCTTATAATGCGAGGAAGAAGGCGAGCGTGAATTGTCGGATGTGGAGGAATGGGTAAAGTGGGTAAAGGTGGTCGATTGACGGTAGGGGATACGCTATGTCCTCCTGAGGTCGAAGGACGTGGAACAAGCTGAGGGGGTTCTGAGGGACGTGAACGTGTGGAAGCTGAACGTGTCAGAGTTGGGAACCTTTCCTCAGCCCCGGGTATGGGTATCGTCGGAGATGTTGGAGATGTGGGGGACTCCAGAGGAGTATCATACATCACAGGGACATTAGAGTGGGGAGCATCAGACGAACCACTGCCGTTGAAGATGCCAGCCAGTACTGACCACCTCCTTCTTCGCCTTTCAGAAAAATTCGTAGTACTCGGGCGGCGCCGTAAAGAGCGACCGTCCTGTGATGGAGGACTGAGTGGCGCATCATCATCTGTACCTGATGGAGTTGCCCCAATCATAATCGGAGCTTGTGGTCTCGTTGTCCCTGCTGGTGGGAGGTCAGGAACTCTGCTCTCCAAAAGAGCCTGAGCAAGCGTTATACGGTCGATTGTACCAGTCGCGCCATCGTCATCATCATCATCTAGATCGATATCTGGAACAGGGCGTCTTTGAGGTGGCTCATCAGCGGGAGCCGGCGTTGGAGGTGTTGTGCGAATGCTTGGCGGCGAACTCCGCAATGCTTGTCGAATGGTCTGCAGGGTTGGAGATGGTTCAGGGGGTTGAGCTAGTATCGTGTTCGGTTGTGCCAGAGTCAGATCTAAGTTCGCGGGACGATTCCTTCGACTATATGTGGCTGAACTGCGTACGGGAAGTGACGTAGAACCACCTTCGACGGTATCGCTGTTTCGGGGTGGGGGAATAGCGCTAGTGCGTTCATCCAAAGCTTGACTACCGCTTGCACCTGCGGTTAGTACATCGATGGCTTCATCGTCACTCGCCTCGAGCCAATCTACAGTCTTGGCCATCGGGTCTTCCTGCTCTGTACCGGAACCCATATTGGGTAGGGATGGGACGGGGGGAACAATTACATGAGAAAGGGACGAACGACGGGACCTTGAGAGGTTAACCGAAATGGTGGATGGTTGTGTCTGCAAACGGGGTCGAGTGATTTCGGTTACTGCAGAATAAGGTGGGGGCTGTTCGGCTGGCTGGTGGGGTGTTACAGGTTGGACTGTGGGCGGCCTGGGCAATTTCTGCGTTGAGGCTGTCGGTAATGACGACTTTCTGAGAAGCTTTTCTGTCTTGAGAACCTGTCCCGAACGTGTCAATGACCTGAATTTCGCCTCGGTTGAATCTACACTGGAGTTGCCAGATCCCACCCTCTTCGATTCCTCCCTCCTAGATCGTTCACGTTCTCGTCGAGTCTCAACCTCCATACGCCACTCTACGGCTTTTTTGACTTCCTCCAATGCATAAACACGAACACCGTCTCGTCTGCCTGCTATGGCCACTAATACACCGCGATGTTCCATGACGACCACACTCTTAAAACTGACCCTGCGCACCAGCGCGTAAGGATGGGCGGCTGGGGGAGACACGAGAGGAAGGACATCAAGTCCTTGGGCATGGCACAGAAGAAGGTAGTGAGGTGCCATAAAAGTCCCACTGGTAGGAGGAGTGGTAAAGTGTGAAGGAGATAAATCTTCTGTGACGACTGATAGGGAGAGACCGAGTTCTCTCAGAGTTGGAGGGGCGAGTGAAGGTGGAGGCGTAAGAGGTCTGGTAGGTGTAGGAGGTGGAGATATGGACCTAGAATCAGACTGAACTGGGTCGGGTGGCTGCGGCCCATCATCTCGAGCAGATGTTCGGGAAGAAGATGGGGTAATTGTATCCCTCCGATGTATTAAATTTGACCAAAAGCCAGAGAGGCGATTGGAGGGACGTGCCTGATAGAAAATTATTCGACTGAGACGGAAGTGGTGATTGTAACTCACATCCATGACAGACCTGCGATTGTTTCTGGTCGAATTCGATCGTTCAATTAGCCTACTACTTGGTTCCGACAACGGATCTGTGGACGCAGTAGTGGGTGTTTGAACTGAGGAAGCGGGTATGACGGGCAGGCTGTGGATGCTTGCATTATCAAGGGATTGTTGAGTATTCGTGGGAAGAGAAGCTGTGTCCGTCGCAGGTTGAATGGCCGATTCAGTATTAGTAGTCTTCGGAGTACTAGTATCGACAACTTTGATGGCGGTGACCGTCAGACCCTGAGGACTTGAATTCATGTCCACGGTATTATCCTGCCCATCGTCGGGAACGACTACTGGGGCATCTCCGCACTGGCCTACAAGACTATGAGCTTCGTCCATTATGGAGGAAAGAGCGACAGAGCGCGGTTCCCTCTCTGCCAGCGAGATGAGACTATAAGTGAAAGAGACAAGAGCCCCGTTTACCCGTGACTTAGTACAAATGCAAATGGCCGAGACCAATGATTTATTATCCCACGCCACGTCAGTGTGAATAACCCCCAGGCTGGTACTTATAGGTATTTTTACTTTGGACCAACTTTGGACCTAGTCATCCGACGGTCGTCCTTCGCGGCAGTTTGTTATTGCTCATTCCCAACCACGTTCGTTGTTGCAGAGCGTAGCGTTTCAGCGATCTGCGCCATGCTTCGTCTGCACAATTCTATTCGTCCAGCATTTCGCTCTCGTAGATGGGCCCATAATATCCCTACGTTTTCTCACCTGAACTCCGTCAATGAAGAGGATATCGCACACTTCTCCAATATACTCGCACCCACGTCTATACTATCAACTTTGTCATCAGTCTCCACCCCCGCAGATGATATTGCACCCTACAATATCGACTGGATGGGAAAATACCATGGTCAAGCCAACTCCGTGCTCAGACCCCGCACCACACAACAAGTTAGCGAAATCGTCAAGTATTGTGCTCAGCGTAAAATTGGAATCGTCCCACAAGGCGGTAATACTGGCCTAGTCGGTGGTGGTATCTCCTTGCAGAAAGAAATTGTTCTCAGCTTAGGCGCAATGAACAATGTTCGGTCTTTCGACCCTGTCTCTGGTACTTAGCCTGTACCTTATTATAATGTGACTCTATATTCTATTCCAGGTGTTCTCGTCGCCGATGCCGGGTGCATTCTCCAATCCCTGAGTGAATATATTGCCCCTCACAATCACATCATGCCCCTTGATCTCGGTGCGAAGGGAAGGTGTGTAGAGCTGTACTATATATCCAGCGAATTAATTTAACGGACCCTTTCAAGTTGTCAAATCGGTGGTAATGTTTCCACAAACGCAGGTGGTCTCCGACTCCTACGTTACGGATCTCTGCATGGCACCGTCCTAGGATTGGAAGTAGTTCTACCAGACGGTACAATTCTGGACCAGCTATCGACCCTGCGAAAGGATAACACCGGTAATTTTAAAAAGTTTCACCCAGGATTTAAGTTCTCCTCCTAACTTCTGATAGGTTATGACCTTAAGCAACTCTTCATTGGTGGAGAGGGTACACTCGGTATCGTTACCGGGGTCTCCATCCTCACACCTCCTGCACCCCAGGCCACCAACAACATATTTTTGGCATTACCCCGCTTCGACAATGTTTTACCACTCTTCCAAACTGTGAAACGCCAACTTGGAGAAATCATGTCTGCTTTCGAGTACATCGACCGCACCGCTTACGACATGGGTTTGCAACACGGTCTTGGCCCTTTGCTCAGCGCAGATGAAGTTGGCGACTCGCAATGTTTTGTACTGGTCGAAACCAGCGGTGGGAACCAGGATCACGATTTAGAGGTGCTGTCATTTTCCTTGTGGTCAGTGTGTGAACTAATGCTTGGATAATCCAGAAACTTAACAGTCTTCTGGAGAGCTTGCTGACCGCTGATGAACCGCTGATTAACACCGGTGTTCTTTCCCAGTCACCCACTCAATTCAACTCGATATGGGCTCTGCGTGAAGGCTTGACTGAATGTGTTCAGAAAGAAGGCAAACCATACAAATATGACGTTTCTGTCCCCCTTGCAGACTTCCAAAATGTCGTCGATGCTGTTCGGGAACGCATGATTTCGAAAGGGCTCTACGGAGATCATGCAATTTCCAAGGTCATGGGATACGGCCACGTTGGTGACGGTATTACCATATCCCCATACTACCTTAAGGCTAGACCACTTATTCCTTCGTAGGAAACCTGCATCTTAATGTGATCGCCAAGCATGGATACCGCCCAGAGCTTGAGGCAGCTCTGGAGCCTTTCATCTATGAAATTGTCGGTGCGTATTGCTTCTTGCAGAAATTTACTGTTGCGGCTATTGACGATCATCTTGATTCAGCTGATCGCAAGGGCTCGGTGTCCGCAGAGCATGGCATTGGATCGATGAAGAGGGATGCGCTGCATTACTCTAAGAGTGAAGTCAGTATTGAGTGGATGAGGAAGGTCAAGCAGGTTTTTGATCCTTTGAATATCATGAACCCCGGGAAGGTTCTTCCATAGAGTTGAGTATATATCATGGCGTTGATGTGACTTCAAGTTTCATCACTGAGCGCTCACCTCCCACGGGAACATGATAGCATACCTCCTTATGCATTTACTAGGGTCGCAATGGATCTTTCAATCAAGTGCTCCGCATTCTAATTATTACGAAAATGAATTAACGGCGGAAACGTGAGTACAGCTATGGCCCATCGGATGCGCTGTTTCATGTAGATCACAATAATAATCAGTCAGACTCTTACACACTCACACGGGTCGTCCCTCTGGAGGTCGAACAAACAGATCCTCGGACATGGGGAACTCCCGGACCGGACTGAGGCTGACGAAGGCAGGTACTACTTTGATAGACTATTGTTGGGCTAGGGTTGTTGGCGGCCATAAAACATGTCTCACGTCACCAATTTTAATTGCGACAGGACGTTGCCAGATTAAACTCAAATGTATCACAGGGGTTCAATAAGAACCATGCTGGTATGGTTTAATTTTTATTATCCATGGTGATTATCGTCGAGTGACCATGAGTGATATATATACCAGCCATGGGGCACTGCGCGGGGGAACAGTGCACCAATCTGGGTCTATACCATATAACTGTTAATCAGGCCCTGGATAGTACACTAAAATTATGAAACATCAGATCTCCAGAACCGCACTATGAGGTAAGATAGTATCTACATGTTCTTGCTTCCTCACAGTGAGGATAGCGATACAGAAGGGATTTATATGTAAGAATGGATAACTTTAACATGTATGTGGATTGCAGTCAAAAGGACGCATTATTTGTATCCAGTCTACAAAGGAAATTACAAGGAGATTGTTCGTTCTACCTCACTCGACCCCCCACGCAAAGTCGAGGGAAAATCCTGGGTGCTCTTACTGATTGCGAGGCGAATGAAGACCATATAGAATGTAATCGAGATGATAACGACGAGCTGGTTGATTGAAGTTCAGTGATTTTCGATAGCAGGCGTTGACGGAATTACCATATCTCCTATAACGAACACTCCATTGTTCGAGCGGACGAAACATATCAGTAAGGAGCAGAGCGTCGCGGAGTACAAAAGAGCAGCATCGACAAGCACCCACACTATCGGCATTCTGCCCTTTGTAGAACGAAATGCAGAGACACTACATTCGATCATCCAGATGCGATATGCTAGCAGTCCTGGCAAGTTTATATGAAACATAATACCGCGCTTATGCAGAAGTGCGCTTACCAGTAGTTGACAAATTAGTTATAAGTGTGAAGACAAGGAACGCCGTGACCCAGTGACCAATCTCACTGGTAAAGACACTTCTGAAATCGCTCCCTGCTTGCGAATAGTTATAGATCCAAAAAACACCGAACACTTCAGGGCAACATCAGAGCACACAACTTTCTGAACGTGATGGCGACCTTACTTGCAACGCC